GCTAAATATTTATGATAAACAGTAATAACAACAATCAATTTATTATTATTGAACGTTCTTTCAAAAAAATTATTCATTGACGTTTTTAATTAATCCAATAATTTAACCCATTCCGAAAAAAAATCTGATAATAATAATTTGCGTTCTCAAAACTTATTTCTGCAGAAAAGTAATCTGTAACTTTGCTCGTTTTTATGATTTCAATCAACTATCTAAACTTTCTAATTGTTGCCGTCGGCACAACTTGAACTCTGTCTTTCACTCAAAGTCAGCCGAATCATGAATAGTGAATCACACTAAAATATTCAATGCTGGGATATAGAGATGTTGAACTTGGCTGGCTTTGCTTATTGAAGCAATTCTTGTATTTTCTAAAGGTCAGAAGTTGCGCTCAAATAATTAATTAATACCTTTTACGAACTTTGCAACTATGGGCGAAAACTTTTTATGCCACTGAAAATAAGCAGAAAACTGAGACAACAAGATGATGGCAAAAAAAATTTCAGTAAAATGGACGTGGCAAAAAATTGTGTGCGGAAAAACAACAAATAAAAGAGCTTAGTGGATGGCACTCTATATTTTTACAGTGTTATGTGATTTTTTGCCGGAAATGGGTACTTTTAGTAATAAATGCGGGCACTAAAATTTTATAATCTGGTTTTTAGTTGGTGAAATTTATTTTAATTAGAGAATTATAGAAACAATTCTATTTACCCAAATTTACATGAATAGGGCAAATGAAATAATTTATTTTTTTTTTAAATGAGGACATAAATTCAAGAATAAATTTAAAAAGGGCCAATAAAAATGAAATATTTTTAGGATTTTTTTTTCAAATAGAAAGATGAAATTTTAATTACAAAACATTGGCATTTAAAGTCATTTCTAATTATTTTTTAAAAAAATTCCTCTCAGTTTCAAAATACACGAAATAATTATTAAAAATTTCCAGATATTCTATCCTATACATGTTTGATTTCTCAATTCACCGGTGCAGTTTGTATTTCACTTTGATGTATGTGTCGATATAATATTTAGTAAACAGGAAGCGGCAGGACTGTGTCTCGCTCTTTCCCCTGCTTACTTTTTCTACATCTTCTCGCAAGCAAAACGTTTGGCCGCGTGTCAGTCGCGGAAAAGAAGACGGAGTGGTCGAGAAGGCCCTTCTTCTTTTTTCACAATTTCGGGGAAGAGCCGCGTGTGCCTTCGAGGGCCAGTTCGGTGGTGCTCCTGGCCAAGATCACTTAACACCGCACTTTGGAAAAGGAAGGCCGACGTGTTGACGTTTCTCAGCCACACCCGCGCGAGAAACCCTCTCACGTACATAGGGGCCCGCTTGATGCATTCGTAATTTCGCTGCGACGGATAATTTACGAGCCAGTCGCGGGGTGATTACATATTTAGGAGACGCGCGGCGCGCTTGAGAAAATATACCGCGGTGCATTGCAAGAGACGTGCTTATTTGATTAAAATTGGTCGGCACAAATCAAACAACGCACTCGCATGAATTCCCATCGGAAAATCGTTGCGAGTGGAATTTCAGACGTGCAAATTATACAGTTGCGAGAGATGAGTCGCGTTTGATTTCAATTCAATTAGAAACGCGAGACGACCGCGTTCCGCCAGGTCGGGCTGTAAACTCGGTGTAATTAGCTGATGTGTTGGGTGTAGATTTGCAAATGAGATTAACCATTAGAGCGTGCTTATGTAATTGACTAATAAATGTACATAACGCCTGAGTATAATTTGTAATTAAGGAATATGACGTTATGTTGAGATAATATTTTTAGGAAGAAAAAACTCAAAATATTGATTAAAATAAATATAATTAATTTTACTACGATTTTGAAGCTATAAAAATAAGCTACAGAGAAAAATTCATTAAAATAAAAATAGAGTTTTTATTGAAAACAGTCTTTGAATTAGAGTTTTCATCTTCAAGAGGAGTATAATTTTTACCATGTTCGGTTCATTTTTAATATGGGATAAATGACGACAACAAAAGCCATACATTCATGGGGATTTGAATTTAAAGTTGGCTTTTCCTCGATTGATTTTGAGATTTGTTTATTGTTAAAGTTATTTAGCTTCTGCGTTGTCAATTGGTAAATCCACTGATCGATTCTTAACAAGAACTTTATAAAATTCACTTTTATCCGACCTGCAAAAAATATACGTAAATCTATTTCCTCCTAAAAAGAGCGCTTTCACTCTTCCTCTGCTCCGAATCAAAATCAATATTTACTAAACTCGAGCGTGAAAACACAACACTAATTCGGCGCCGCGTCGTTTTTTTTCCGGCGCGTGAAAGATGAAGCCTCAGGACAAACATTGCACGCGGGCAGACGGACAAAGCGCTTATTCGCACACAGACAGACAGCTCTTGAGCATCACCACACGCGAGATCATCTCTGCCGAGGCTGATTGATTATTTACGGCCTCGTCATCTCTCTCCCAGGCGCAAACAACCCGGTGCACACGCACGCGTATATAAATTGCGTATTTGCAACTCATTGCCAACGTGTTTTGATCTCAATAATAATTCTGTGACCTGATATTAAAAAAAAATAATGTTTACATGAAACGTAAATAAAAATGAGATCAGAGCAGTGGAATGAAATAATACAAAATGCGTTCGTACTGAAAGAACGTCCTAGTTCAAAATTCATAATGTGTTAGATTTCCATCTTACAATTAAATGAATAAATTTTATAAAACGTAAAAGTTTTCCTGTGACAGAGAATAATTTTATTATTCAATCCGCAATAAAGCTTTGTGGCTAATAATAATTATTAATAAAAATAGGTTTCAAAAAAAGTTCTCAAATTCAGAAGGATTGATGAATGCATGGAATCAAAATAGATTGGGCCTAGTAAAAATTCCAATAAGTCTCATTGTCCTGGCGTGGCCACAAATAACCATAACTCAATAACTAAGGTGAATCGATCAATCTAAATTTAAGCTAAAAACGAAAACAATGAACTCTGTGCCAATTATTCATAACACGCAGATTATTTATATTCACATGTCAATAAGTAGGGCGTATGGAGTCTTTTCGATCTAGGTATTTTTAGTTATGTCCATGAATGCTAGTCGTGGTGCTTTTTGTCAAACAAATAATGCCTTTTCTTCCAAACAATTTGTTTTCCAATAATTGAATGTAAACAATGTGATTGTAACAATGTATAAACATAAGCAGGAATATTAATAATTTTCTTTTCATAGAAAAAAATGTGGAATTGAATTTCCTAAAGCACTGAGAATTCAATATTACTAAATTACATAAATCTACTGATCTTATTCAAAATTGAAAAAGCAGTATGCTGGAAGATCATGGAAAAAATCTGTTTTCCCTAACGGAGTTGATTTTTTTTATACAAATATATGTTGAAAATGTCAAGTAAAATCTCTTGTATGCATAAAGCGGTAGGAAAAGTTATTTTTAGTGATTTTTTTTTAATTCTTAGGAAATTGATGGAATTAAAATAAAATGAAATATACTTTGATTTAAATTATCCGTTCTTGATAAATTCGCACGTAGTCTCAATAAAAATAATATACTTAGAATCAATAAAAGATCTATTTTCGAAGTGCTTTTTTTATGCAAAGCAATAAATTTAAGGAAATAATAAAAAATACTTATTTATTCCATTCAACCATTGGTGAAGTTGATTGTTATCGATCCCATTGTCAATGAATATTCTGTTGCCAATGATCGTACCAAAAGCGTTTTGTTAACAATACCCTGCATGCGTCGACGGCGCCTCTTGTCTGTCCTGGGACTGTCCAAATATTTACGAAGAGCGTGAAAACCTGGCCGTCTCTCGCCAAGCACACCGTCCTCTATTTATTTGCCTTGCTAATTAACCGGCCGTGTCAAAACACACGCTTTGAGTAGTTTGTTCACCGAAAGCCCGCATCTATCGTGGTGTCTTTTGGGAAAGAAGATGTGACTTGCGACTACTTTGCATTCGCATCACACTTTGACCTCATCGCACAAACATCGTGTATGTACCAAGAGAGATTCCATGTTTCCAGTCGCGGATCGTTATATTGCGTAGAAAACGTTGCTCCTAGTTTATAATTTCTCTAAACCATGGAATTTTTTTCTGTCGAATACCAACCATTAAAATTCACCTTCACCCGGCATTCAAAGCGAGCTATAACTCCGGTCGTACAAATGCAATGCCGTTTTTAATCTCCTTTACACGTCGAGTCTCTCATCAATTCAATTTTACTCGGAGTAAAAAGCTGTCATTTGCAATAGGTGCTAACGACCACCAGCGATTATACCTTATGAGGTTGAAGTAATTAAATTTCGCTCCAACACAATAGTTTATTCCAAACGCACACCTTTTGTCCGCAGACCTGCAAAGCGTTTGCAAACAGTAGTTTCGCTCCCAAAAGTTTACCTTTGTTCTAATGATAACTTTGGTCTGCACCGAACGTTCGCGAAAATACCGAGAGCAAAATACGAAGCTCTTCCCGAGCACAGGACCCAGACTCTCAGCACAAAGGATTGTCAATAATATATCACTGCCAAGTCAAGCTGTTTTTCCACCAAAGAAAGTTTCTCTGCGGATACGGATGCTGTCATTATATTTTTAGTTGAAAGTTTGGCATCAGGATTTAGTCTGCTGAATTTAGTTTGTTTCAATTCCGATTTAATTTTGGGCTTTTTGAGACTAAAAAAATAATTAATAGGTTTACAATACATAAATGTTAAATTCAATATTTAGATCAAATAGAATATGAATTGAAATATTTTGTTTGCTAACGAAATTGAAAGTCTGAATACACCTGACTAAATTTGGTTCTTCTTTCTCTGTGTAAATTTGCAATTCAAAGTCCCGACAGACCGAAATCAAGTCTCTTCTCCTGCACACGAGAGTTTTCTTTGTTTTTCCATTTCCGCAGCGATAATTAAATAGGGAGCGAGAAAGAAAGCGGCGTGTGCGGCATCCAGGTAGGAATTTTAAATCAGTGTCTTTTGTCTCCAGGGACTGGAGAATCGAGTTTGGACGTGTCGTAATTTTAAAAGAGAATTCGCGCGTGCTGAAACGACAAGGCCAATTTTAAGTTGAGCCGAGAGAGTAGGAGAAATAGAAAACGCTGGTTGCGGCTGCTGAGCGTGGCACTTTGCAGAATGGGCTTGATGGCTATCATCTGGTTGGTGAGTTCAATTTATCATTTCTCACTTCTGTTATGGCTGCACGCGAGCCTTCGGCTTCTGAGGTCGGTAGCGAATCAAATTAATCTGCCACGACGTGTGGGCGAACTTTGGAATTTTGTTATGACGTGCGTCGGTTTGTTGATTTCCTCAACAAGTTTGATGGGAAAAATTTATTGCTCGCAAATTTTTGGGAAGACGTTTTTAGAAATAAATGAAAAATAAAAAATCAGTGCCATAATAAATTTTGAACCAAAAGAATTATTTGAAAACCCCTTTTATCTCGCAATTAATGGAATTAAAAAATTGACTTATCCTTTTTATAAAATTAATCACTTCATTTAAAATTTGAGTCTAAAAAATTGTCTTTTTTTGGAAAATAAAATTTTTCACAGTTCTAAAAGTTCTTTCAAATAAATTTAAATTTTCACAATTCATTATTCGGCATTAAAAATCATTTCAGATGAATTTAAATCAAGGAACAATACACGATTCAGGTTTAACAGAGCAGAACGACAAGAGAAAGCAATTAAGAAAATATTCATGCATTTTCCTCTGCTAAAACTTATCAAACTTTGCTCGCGTATTCTTTAATGCGTGTGCAACAGAGCACAATAGAGGCTTTGTCAGCTTTCACTCCAAATTGCAAAAAGTTATTTTGCACCCTGCTCTGTCGAACCCACATCTCAAGACGCAACAAAACAAAGGGTTAAAGTAAAGTGCGGCAGAGCGAAAACAATTATCAGGCGTGAAACTCGGTCGGGATTAAAATCGTGGCCATATTTGCCGAGCAGAAAATAATAATAACCCACGGGCGATTGAAATGAAAGTCCCCGGCGGGGTTCATTTCCATTATATTGAACAAAACAATCCAACTCTGCCGTGCTTTGACCGCAAGAGCGAGCGCACATCGCGGCCAATTTTCCGGTCGGCGCCACCCTCTAATTGTGTGGCGAAACCGATCCCCTTGATGACTTTGCATTTCCGCCGTTTGTGGTCCAGCGCTGCTCGCATTTGCCCATGACAGGTATGCTAATGCACCGCCAAGTTTTGCAGATTATGGGTCCGGGCCCGACGCTAATTACTCAACACAGTATTAGCTTGGTTAATGTTGGGCATTAGCTTTATAAAGTTTGTTATGCAAACGACTCTGAAATTAAACACTTTTAATTTTTATAATAAACCAGAACCTTAAAATATATTTCAAGAAAAAAAGTATTTCCTTAAACTTAAATTTTCTTGAAATATATATGTGAAGCAGATATTTTTGAATTGGTTTTCCATGGTTGGTACTGGTTTGTTCCGCTCCTGGTGAAAAAGTTCCACCTAAACGAATTGCATGAGCTTTGAGTAATTAATACTGTAAAACTTATTTGACCTCAAATCAATGAATTCCAATTAGTAAATAAATTACCTAAGGCTTTTTTCTTTCAACTTTGAAAAATAATTTGGCCTTTGTTCTCAAACGCCGTTTTCAAAGAGCCGCTGTATTTCGCATCCAAGGAAAACTTTTCAAATAATATCCTTTGAAACCCAGTCGCGTTCCTTTTATTATTATAAATCTTTTGCGAAACGATGTGCTTTGAGCGCATCGTGGGAATTCTGAAGTCATGGTTATAATTTTTCAAGGAGTTTTTATTTTCCAACATCCAGCAGAAAAGTTTTCGCAGTGCAGACTTGGAAATTGCGCTCTCTGGAAATTTCACTCAGCAAGACAAACAGATCAAAGGGCAAACAATCCGGACTCTCACGTATAACAAGGAGAGCACTTCATTCGTCTTAATGGTTCACCGCGCGGCTTGAATCTTAATCAGGCAATTGATACTCTTGCTGATGTAGAATAATTTATTCCAATTTCAACGCCTCACCATGACCATTATTTGCAGAAGTTGCTAACTTTGCCTTTTGTGCATAAAGTGATGATTTTTTTTCCATCCGAACTTACTTTTTTATAATTTTACAGGCGCATGAGTAAATTGGGTAAACTATCAAGCGCCTGAGAAATTATTGTTTTTGCAAATTTCTGTCTCAGAATATCGCAGCTTTAATGAACAAAACAATAAACAGCCGCCGTTTGTTCGATCAAGCATTATAGAGAATGAATTCAATTAATTTGTGATTTGAGGAGAAAGTTTCTGCCAGTGAAAATCTAATCTTGTTAAGAGTTGCCTGGTTCATGCTAAAAATATTTTACAGGCTTCTGATGAGAAAAGTTTGAGTTTGAAAGGCTCTTTATGTTCTAAATTTCGCTTGGAGCAAGATAAAATACAGAGTTCAAATCAATTTTCAAAGATATTGCAAAATTTTAAACATCAAAGAATAAGTAATTTTCTTTCCTTGAACTCGGAGGAGAATCGGTAAAACCAACCAAATTTTGTTTCGGATGAAAAATTTAATTTTGCATGCAGTAAAAAAAAAAGAAGTTTATAGAGATATTAAAAAATCACACTTTCTTACTTACAAACAAAATTAAATCAATTCTAGCTTATCAATTAAGCTTATTCCTTGTGCGCTATCTCATTACGCACGAAACGTGAGGTTTGGAATTCAACTCACAAAAGAGATTTTTTTGCAGTAATTTAATCCTGAGATTTCCGTATGAGAGTTAGAGAGGGTGCTAACTTAATTAGCCTAGACACCCCGGATTCGTTCAGTCTAAATAATTGCAACGTAATTCTTGCGCACAATCCCCCGTTTGTATCCATTTTAATTAAGGCAGAGTGAAGAGGTGTTTTAATTAAAACCTTGTTTCCGTTCGCAGGTCGCGGCTCTGATTGTTCAGCAAAGTTTCTGCGAGTCGTCATCAAATAACGGCAGCGCGACCACGCAGAATGTACGGCGGGTGTGCAGGGCGAGGGACGCGATTCTGCCGCCCCACTTGTTCGCACTGCACACCTGCGCCCTGTGCTACACATACATGATGCCGGCCGCCTTCAGGGAACCAGCCCGGCCGCAATTCCACCCAGGCCAGAATAATGTCCTCAAACTGTTGCCACCGCGCCACAATGAAAGTGTGAGTCGAGGGTTTCCTTTTGGGTTGTACAAATTGCGTTTGAATTTATATGAAATGTCAACATGGCAAAAAGTTGATGATTATTTAAAATAAGTAAATTAAAAGAACTATTTTTCAACAAAAGCTGAATGTAGAACTATTTATCAACATCAGCCGAAATCAATTAAACTAAAAAAAGTTTTCTGTCTCAGAAATACCATATTTGCCTATCTTTTTCATGATTTATCGTTCCCTTTATAAAAAGCAGCCGCTCTTGCTTGAGGGCGAGTTTCTTCATTACGCGAAGCAGAGGAATTATTAATTGAATCACGAGAAAAACGCAGCTGCTTTTGAAACCCTTTCAAGTTTGCTTTTATCATCATTATAATAATAAAAATGTAATTGACTGTAGACTTTATTACAAATCTAATTTAAACACACCGAAGAGCACCGCAATGTAATTGACGTTCGCAAAGTTGGAAAAGCGCGCCGGTGCTGGTAATGTCTTCAAGAAGCTCCAAATCTCATTTCCTCTCTGCCATTATTTTTAAAGATAGCGATCAAACCGCATTTGAAGAGCTTTCTTGCTCTTTCGTAGGGCTTTTAAAAGGAAAAGAAGCGGAATAAACCGAATTTTCTGATGAAATCGTTGGACTGGAAATTACTTGTGAAAGACAAAGGCTCTTAAAGAAAAGAACAATCATTTAGATTAACCAATTAAGTAGCACTAAAAATTTGATTGAATTCATTTTACTTAAACAAAATATCATTATTTTTATTCTTTTTAGCTCTGGTTATTTGGTGTTGCAATTTTTCATTTGTTAATGGAATTCAATCAAATATTCACACAAAAATTATTTAGATGACAATAAGAAAAATTAATTATCAGGAGAGAACATGGCAAATATATCTGACGGCGAAAGACCCGTTGGTTGATTTCTGTCGTCGCTCTAATGAAATTTGGCCCTAATTACTCTCAAGCCTAAGTAACATCTTCTCCCTTGCTGTTGTGACTGGTGAGCACTCTGAGCCAGGAAGTGGACCAATAACCCTCTCTCCTTCAAAAACAAACAAAGTCACACTTTTTTCCTCGTCATTCCGCAGGTCTTCGCCGACGCCAGTGACGACGCCAATCCTCTCCTGCAAACTTTCAGCGGCGAGTTGGCCAAGAAGAAGTGGCTCGAGTGCTGCAACAACGCGCGCATCTGCTGCGACACCATTCTGGCCAACGTCTCCACCACCCGTGAGTTGTTCCGCCTTTGATATTTGTATTATAAATTCCATCGTATTATCCTTTGATGCCACCGAGAAATTGCTCCAAGCACGTCTCCCTTGATGGCAAATCAAAATCCACGCATAATTTTCCACTTGCTTAATAACATAAAATTGTTCAAAAAGGCCTTGCGGTTGAATTTTGCAGCTGCGGGGTGGTGTCCGCGCACATGGGATGGCTGGATGTGTTGGGGCGACTCGACACCGTCCACCATGCAGTATAATTCTTGTCCTACCTTCATCGCACTCACCTCCGAGCCACCTTCTTGTAGTGAGTAGAATATTTAATACAATTGATTAATACAATTCTAAACTATTGTTTAAACCTTTAATTAATTATTTTTAAAACTGAGGAAGAAAATTTAGATAGTAAATCTGCAATTGTAGTTGGTGAATTATATATTTTTAACTATTTTAAAAAATACAAAAAAAAATTAAAATTACTTTATATTAAATCCCAACGCGCACTTTTCACGAAACCAACATAATTTATTGATTCCTAGATTTTTTATCAACCGTTTTTGTAATTTATTCAGAAGTACTGAAAATAAAGCAACAGAGATATTTTTTATTTGGAATTTGATTTTTATATTCAAAAAATATATTCACAAAAACTAACTTCCCTTCCAACTTTTGAATATTTCGTTTCATCACTGATTTCCTATTTTCAGTGCAAGCAAGTAAGATGTGTTTATCAGACGGGACGTGGTTCCGCTCGCAAGAAACTGGGGCAGAGTGGACCAACTACTCGACCTGCAGCACCGTCCAAGGCCACCAGAACAGAGCCTACATTAGTTTGGCAGCCTTTGGGGTGAGCGTCGTTGCCCTTGTACCAGCACTAGTGATTTTTTCCATCTACAGGTAACAAAAATTCTAACTAATTTTATATTAATTTTTATTTTTAAATTTATAATTAAAATTTTATCTAATGCAAATATTTAAGTGTAGATCAAGATTATTTTATATTTAAAAAAAATCCAAAAATGCTTTTGTCATAAGAATATAAATGATTAAATAATAATAATAAATTTACTTGGTTGACAAGATTTGAAATAAACGTTGATGACATGACAAAAATAAATTTTTGATTTTTTTACACATTTATGCAAATCCTTAGAATTTGATGCTCATTATTTTTCATACTGTCTTCAATTCCTTGTTGGGTGTCAATTTTTTGTCAATCCACGTTTAAAGGTATGGTTGAATTTCTCTTCTTTTATCCGTTGCAGGCAGCTTAGAGTGCCGAGGGTCGCTTTGCATAGACACCTGTTCACGTCGCTGCTGCTGAACGCAATCGCGGTGATCGTCTTCAAAGGCAGCTTCCTCATCCCCGCGACGACGCAAGGCTCTCTTATTACAAAGGTATGTCTGTTTTTTGTATTATTTTTCCATTTTTCGGGGATCAAATTTGATGCGATGACATACAGTGCGACTAAAAGTGGTGTTCGGCGAATCCAAGATAGGACACGTGCATTATGTAAAAGCAAAATGTCAAATCTGAAGGGGCTTTTGGCGCAGCCTTATCATTTTCCCGTCCATGACAGGCTGATATTGTTGACGTCTTGCATAACGAGACATTCCGACTCTCTGTGACGGGGCAGAGTGAGACGGCTCTGGAGTTTTTGGCAAAATAGAAGATCAATATAAACTTTTTGTTTGTCCAGAGAACAGGCCCAGGCCAAGAATTTATTCAATTTTTCAGATCACTCTTATAAAATTCAGTATTTTAATAAAAAAAAAAATTAAATTTCTTTTGCAACTTAAAATAGAAAATCTGCTCAAAATTATACTATCCCCTTTTTATGTGTGTATTACGTTCATAGCTCTACATATTTATATTATAACTTTTTTTTTTAATTTTGCATATTCAAGGAAAAGGAGCTATTGATAATTTTTTTTAAATTTGTTTGGGGGGGCTGCAGAGCATTTTTTTTATATATCAAGAAGAAGAAAAAACAAAAGTTAATAATTGAAACTACGTATTTTTCGTTTTCTAAAAAATCTCAACGTGTCATTTTAATATTATCAATTTTCACTATACATACTCTTATCGTTTTTCATGACAAGCCCCTATATTTGTTCACCATTTTCCAATTTCCCTTCGCCCGACCACTGGAGCAATCCCCAACTTTGTTTGCGGAAGAGCGTTAATTCCGACGGATATTGTATCGCCGTGTTCTTTGGCAACCCCTTTTCTCTCTGCACGCGGCGCGTGTTTCAGGTTTCAGAGTGTGTAGAGCGCAAGGTGGGTTGTTTGAGTTGCTGGCTAGCTGTCCTCCTTCCCTGGGGGTTTAACCGAAAAAGGGTCAACGAAAACGCGGAACAAGAAAGCAAGGGACTGCTGCAGATTAATTCAGCAGTTCCTTTCCGCTTTATTTTCATCCCATGCGGATTTGCCAGCTGAGTTTTTGCCCAAGCCTCTTTTTGATTTGTTGCCGATTTTTTTGCTTCCTGATTAACAAAGCATTCATTCTGTTGGTAACAATTTTTTTCTGCCGTCAAATTATTGATTAAAATTCAAGTTATTTTCTTGTTTAACGAGAATTTCTAGTTGAATTTAATGAAATTATGGGAAAAATTTACTATTAAATTGCATTGCAACTTTTCGAGAGGTCAGCAGAGCCTTTTTTTACCGCAAAATATTGTCATTATCCTCATGAACATCTCCATAAATATTAATTAATAATATAGCCTAAAACCTTTTATAACACCAAATTTTCAAACTGTATTGAACTACAGATGCGTAGTTAAAGTTATAATTCTAACGAAAAGTGGCATCAATACCTTATTTTGAAGATCCCATTTCAAGCAATTCAATTTTGTGCAAGAATTTTCTCATATTTAAAACGTTTTGACGTTTTATCATATTTCTAGGGCAGTTTTTTCATTCCCAAAAGAAATAATTCTTTTTAAGGAGACTTCAAAAGAAGTATAAATAAAATGCAAAGGAAAAGCAGCCTTTTTCCTCCCTCAAAGTTTTCCTTCCGCTTTTTGCTCCGCTTTCACTTTATTGGACAATTTCGTCTGATGCTCTTTGCTGATTTAATTCTCCTTGACGACTCGCATTTACGCCGCGAGCGCCGTGGCTCTTGTTTTCCACAGCGTCGTCGTTTTTTCTTCTCTCCAACCTCATCCTTCCACAGAATAATACGCCGCACGTTCACCTCCGCGCTGAACCACCACTTGTTTGCCTTAAAATGTCTCGTCTAGGCCGTAAAAAGCTCCGGGGTTGTTTCAGTAACTAAGCCGTTTTTTTTCATGACTCTCTTCTCGCTAAAGCGCCTAAAAGCAAACGAGGAGGATAAAATTTACATTTATTTTGGTAGCAAAAACTTGAAAACTCTACGCGCGCCTTTTCTTGTAAATTGAATTTCGGAACTTCTGGATGCACATTGACCTAAAATTAGCTCCCAATCAGCTTCTCCGTTTTCATTTCCACGCTGTCAATTAAGACCTAAAACTCGATCGGCGTAACAATGCAACGGCCTAATGAGAGCCCCTGTCAGTTTATCAGTAATTGACACCTTGATGGAACATATCAGATCGCCGATTATCGACTAATTTTATGTCAAGAAGTAAATAGTGAAGCTCAAAATAGCACATTGTAATAAACTAAAATTAGGTGCAAATTTAAGAAGTGGTGCCATTTTTTCCGAAGATTCATTTTCTTTTCAAATAAATTGTTCTCAACGATTGAATGTAAACAATGTGATGTAACAATTTCGAAAAATAAAAAGCAATAATAATAATTAAGTGAGATCAATATTTGGAGAAAGCAAAGTTTAATATTAGTTTTTAAAATTAAAATATAGAAATTAAAACATTAAAACATTAAATAATTTTAAATTTTTATATTTATTTATTGTTCTGTGATTTTTTTTATAAAAATAAACAATGTGAATCGTGAATCGCTCATTTAAAAAAATATTTTGTTCGTCAATTTGCAAAAGGCCAAATCTGGAATACTTTCCGAGTCAAAATATATCTTCATTTTTCATAGATGTGTGCATAAATTTACCTGTCCATTAGCGATTCATAAATAATTCAGACGATAGCGCTGGTGGTCGCGTTTAATCCAGCGCTCGCTCGTGTGGTGAACACAAAGGGGAGCGCCGTTTTGTTGCGGCTGTAAATTGCGCCTTTGAAGACCCCCCAACGGAATTTGCTGAATTTTGCCAGCCGCTGTTCTTCAAACGTGAACAGCAGTTTAATTGCACGTCGAGAGACGCGTGAAAATTTAATTCAAAGTGAAGTGCCGTGACGAGATTTAATTTTCAACAGGCGCTCAGGTGGAGAAACGAGCGTGGGCCGCACATTAATTATTTGCTTGACGTTGAAAATTGTTTTGGGCAATAAACTTTCTCAAATTTTGCTACCGTGCGTAGCTGCTCACTACATGGTCACTCACTCAAATCAACGGAAATTTAAAGTTTGCAAAAAGTGAATTTACGAACAATCTCCTCGTTCGGCTTTAAAATTTTTCTATCAAAAAGGGCAGAAGCTACTAATTTTTTGATATTAAGCGCAACCTTTGTCGCTCTAAATTGAAATTATATACTCTTCACTAAATTTCTCTTTCCTTTTAATAAAAGATAATATTTTTTCAGGACGGCCTCTTCTGCAAAACGCTCATAATGGTAACTAAGTACTTCAGAGTTTCCAATTACATGTGGATGTTTTGCGAGGGCTTTTACCTCCACCGACTGATCGCCGCCGCTTTTGTTGAGGAGACCAGCTTGCTGATTTTCTACTTGATTGGATGGGGTGAGCAATAATGTACTTGAAATTCTGTCGAGACCGTAACTCAAAATTAATATGAACGATGAAAACAATTTCGCCTCGGGAATTTTGCTTCAGAGAACTCCAGCTTTTTTATTTATTTTGAAGTTGCAAATTTTTCTACCTGATAAATCGGCAGATCTTTTATGATTTATAACAATGAAATTTGTTATTCATCATAATAATTTACTTTTTGGAAAAATCTCGTTTGATTATAAAAGTTATTCATAAATTTTATTTTGTGTCAAATTGTCATTTTGGAATTTAGTTCATTGCATGAAATTTAAAATTCAGGCTTGCCGGTGGTGGTTGTGGCCTCGTATTTCGGCGCTATCATTTTCCACGTGCCCTCTCTGGACGTTAGCGAGTGCTGGTCCTTTCCGGACTACGACTGGGTCCTCTACGCGCCCTGCCTCCTCTCGCTGGCCATCAACTTCCTCTTCCTCATCGACATCATCCGCGTCCTGTGGCTGAAACTTCGCGCCCGCCACGCCCAAGAGCCTTCCCAGTACAGGTACCCCGCGATTATTGAGAATGCAACCCGCTTAGCAAGAAAGCCACGCATGCTGCATAAACGATGCCCGCACTTCTATTATTGTTGCTTGGAGTAAAACGCGCTTTTGATGTTTGATGTCGGAGAGCATGTTTGCCTCATTTGAATTATAAATCCCTTTTTCCTGCTCGTTGCTCGGAAAATTCTGTTAGCTCAAGCGTAGGAATCAACAATGAAATATAAACATAAAAATAACTTCTTTTATTTTTATTTCCATTTTCCTTTGTAGAGTATTTTGCTTTTGGCGTTTTGTTGCTTGCTTCAAAATGCGTGAAATTATTTAAAAATATTCGCAGTATTTTCTATAATTCTTTCAAAATAATTAGCCTGATTTTGCTTTTTAAAAAATTTTCAGGAAAGCCGTAAGAGCGACTCTTGTGCTGGTGCCTCTCTTTGGTCTCCACCTGTGTTTAACTATGTACCGACCGCCCAGCGGGTCCTGCAGCGGCCTCTTCATACAGATTTACAACGTGGCAGACTACTTGCTTGACGGACTACAAGGGTGTTTTGTTTCCCTCAGCTTCTGCTACTTTAGTGGAGAAGTAAGAAAATAATATTTTGAATTTAATACCAAGAAGTATTTTTTTTTTTTTTTTTTGTATTAACAACTTTTTAGGCTCAAATTTTAGTGGAGGAAGTTTAATTTTAATTTTTTTTTTTACTTTTTTAGGTCCAGTACTTGGTGAAGAGGTCCTATCAAAGATTCGTCCAGAGGCATAGGCCAAATTTAACTGCAGCTTCTTGGCTCTCGGCAGACGCCAACCAGCAAAACCAAATGAACTCACAGACAACCATGTCCCTGGCCGAGCCTGTGGCTTCCAACAGGAGGGGCACCAGATACTCATGCCCGACTGTTGAGAGGACCGCCAAGAACGACACTCTTTTTTAATTTATTTATGTGCTCATTGACTGAAAATACTCACATTACCAAAGAAAATATAAGTAATTGTTCATAATTATAAGTATGTGAATAATTGTGCTGAATGTCATGTTGATTGTTGAATAAAAATGTTCGGTGTGAAACTTTTGTTTATCTATCAATTTTATCATACAATGCAAATATAAATAAATTTTTTTGCCAGCAATAATTTTTATTGTAATATTGTCTTTCTAATTGGAATTTTAGCTAAATTTCAGCTATTTTATTTGAAAAAAAAAAATGAGGAGAAATAATCAAACTGATTTTTCGAATTTCAATTAATATCAGCTACAAATAGTTTGTATTTTTACTCACTTCAATTTTACTACACACTGCATTTAGTTTGCTTTTCCAATAATTGAAAATAATAATTGAAAATTTTTCATCAATTTCCACTTAAGAAATTTTAAGTATGCATTGCCATAAAGCTTAAGTTTAATTTTCAACCTATTAACTTTTGGATTGGTCTGCTGTTCTGAATAGTTCATGATTGGGCTTCAAAACATGGTTTCGCGTCGATTTGGTGACTGAGCTTTTCCAAGCTTTCCCTAAACCCCAACCTACATTGTTTCCAAATTAAATAGGACTCAACATACTTTAATCCTTCCCAAGCAGTCCAGGATGGTATTAAACGAAAAGTGAAAAACAATCGCTGAAATTAAGTAATGCACTTGTATTTAAATAATAATCAGATAAGAGCTTAATTTATTTATTGCATATTATATAACATTTTCTCTTCCATGACAAAAATTCCTGCATTTGTATACAATAAATCATTATATCTTTTTTCATCGAAGTTTTCTTTCTTTACAAGAGTGTTGTTAAGAATTAATTTATCCTCAACCGTCTTCCTCCTCAGGCTCTTTAGGCGTCGCCTTCTCTGGCCGAGCTGCAATAAAAATGCGTAAATAATATAACCTTGGTTTAAAATTAAAAAAGTTCTTACTTGAGCAAGCACCAGTGGAGAAGGAGATGTCGTCAATTGCAAAACCACCATTGGTAGCCCTACCCTCCAAAACGAGTCGGAAATCGGTGCCCGAGTCGACGGCCACCTGCGCCGGTCGCCAAGTCGGTCTTGAAGTGTCCATGTTGCGCGCCTCCAATGACCACAACTAAAAAGTTAAAAAAAAATGCTATTTATTTATATTATTTGTTAACAATTTTTGATAAAAAACAATTCTAACAAAGTTTTTTTTTTAAATATCAATGTATAAATTTTTTTTAATTAAAAAATTATCACCTTTCTAGTTTCCTCTTCACTGGTAGTGTTGTCGACGCGAACAACATGTAGCTCGGCCGTTTCACCAGAGCCGAACGCTGTGTACCAAAAAGTGAAGCACAACTGCCTGTCGTCGGTGGCAGCAATGAAGCGAGACGTCAGCCGCACCACGCTGCTCCCCGAGTTGAACAAGTCAAAGTAAATGTAGCCCTCTGCGGAATTTCATTAAAAGATTTCCACTTTTTCGATGAGAAAACTTTATACCTGGGGCTCCAAACGTTTTGTCAGGCAAATTGGCCGGCCTTCTGGCGACAGTGGCCAGTTTCCAGAACGTGTTGCTTGTCGTCGAGTTGACCCAGTCGCAAATGTCTCGCTCGAACCGGCAATCACCGTGATGCGTCGTTGCACTAGGTGGGGTAGCTGCGATTTTATTATTAAGAATTGTGGTGTTAAAATTAATTTTTGTTTTACTTGAGCAGGCGCCGTCAAAGAGGGTTATATCGTCAAATCCAATTATTCCGTTGGCCAGACTCGAACCCCACATTCCCTCGAAGAAAATCTGAAGAATTTTATTTTTTCAATTGCATGAAAGTTAATAATTTTCTCACAGTAAAAGATTTTTCTTCTTGAATTAAGGCTTGTCCGTAGTGCCACTCGGGACCTTGGTGGTTGTAAAGTTTCCAGACGGGTTTCTTGATCACATTACCGTCGGGCTCAATAACTTTGGTGTAGACGGAAAGTGCGCCTAGACTGGGGCCAGCATTGCCAATAAATGGCTCATTCAGAACGTACCTTGAAAAAATCAAGTTGTTTGTTTGTTTGAAAATCTTCATGGAACGGCAATAAAGCAAGTAATTCTTAAACCTTAAAATAAAATATGTTTATTTGAACAAAAATAAAATTAAGTTAATTTTATATACTGCAACCTATTAAACTGATAAACAATTAATTGCTCAATTTATTAATTAGTCTGTAAATCTGGTCACCGTTTTGATTGATTTAATACTTTTTTTAATGGATATAGTATTAATTATTTCTATTAAAATTGTACTTCTTAAACTATAATTAATATGAAATTCAATTAATTTTTTGCTATTTTCACTCACCAAAATGAAATGCAGTGAGCATTGGCACTTCCAGGAAATTCCCTAGACGTAAACCACGCTCTGCTGGCTGGTCGCTGGACGTTGGTGCTTCTCGCCAGCGTCATAAAGAAGCCTAAATTCAACATTTATTTATTTTCAGTTTCACTTTTGACACAAATTCAAACCTTTGTCAGATGACAAGGTGTGATCCACATTTTGCATCAGCGGTCGACCTTCAGTGCCCGTCAAAGCGGACACACGCTCCCAGTCTAATTCGTCCATCCTTTCGCGCGACGGCACATTCGCCCAGCCGCACTCGTCAACCTCGAAAGTGCAGTCGCCCGGCATAGGGGCGGCGATTTGGGGTGCAGCTTTAGAAAAAAAATTAATGTTAATTACAAATTAGGTTAATAGAAGATTTTATTACTGGGGCAACTGCCGGGATGGAAGGAAAGGTCGTCAATCGCAATGTCACCCAAAATATTCTTCCCCACTTTTCCGACCACAACAATCTGTAAATTTAAAGTTATTTAATGAACTTGGAAATATAAAATTCTGAATAATTTCTTGCCTTGAAAGGATTTGGTGACGAAACGGGTACATCAGCCTGGTACCATGCGTTGCCCTGCTCGCCAGAAAGTGTCCAAATGTCTCGCTCATTGCCCTCGCGGACGTCCATCAAGTGAATGCTCAACGTTCCGATACCATTTCCGTACATGTGAGTAAAGAACCGAAGACACAGAGGAGTGTCCACGCCTGTCAAAAACGTAGATATTTCATTTCTAATAAATTAAATTGTATTTTAATAACTAGATATTCAAATGTATGCAGACCCGCATTTCATAAAAGTCCAGACGGTTGCATAATTATTGTTACTATATAATTTTAATTTCAAAATAATGAATTGAAAAATTAAATTTTTTTAAATATTTTAAATTCAAACCTGTGGCATCCATTTCAGGACTGGACAATCTTGCTATGTCCCCTGGTCGTCGAGGGTGCGATGAATCTATGAACGCGTAACCACCTTCCATACCGCCATGGAAAAAACTTGTACAGTCCATCGCAGGCCCTGTTGACGGATTCCTGCTCCCTCGACCCTGTACAGATTTTTCTTAATATACCTGCCAAGTATTTTTTTTATTTGACATAATTACAAGGGACCAATCAAAGTCATCGTCTTCGTCGTTGGTCCATGCACAGATTCCTCCTTCAAAGGTGCAGTGGCCGCGACATTCGGATCCAGGCTTTAACGCCACATTGTCGACGGCGACGTGGCCGCGGTACTTTCGCAGTGGGTCGTTCAAGTCTTTTGAAATTCCTTCAAATATGACCTTAAAAATAAAAAATAATAATAACATAAAATTTTATCGTAGAAGATAAAACAGTAACTTAATATTTTTAATGTCATTTTTGCTACTTTTTAAGCATTAATTTTAATGTGCTTTTCGCACGCACAAGTTTATTGTCCTTAAGTTCTAACCTGGTGTTCTTTGTTGTATGTATAGAGAACGTCGGCCTGCTTCCACTGGCCACCCGTCGGATCTTTGTTGCTCCAAATAACTCTCTCCATGTCGTCGTCGTCTCCTTCGTTACTGTTTTTTGGCTTCAGGATCACTCTCAACCCTGCAGCGCTCAATCCGCCCATCGAGAATCTGTGGAAAATTTTCAAAATATTTTTGTTTATCGTGGAAAGTGATCTCGTCACTCACCCAAATCCCACGCACTTTCCCTCAGGGCCTGTGCTTCCCATCACGGAGCTCTCAATGTACGCCCGCTGGCCCACTTTGGTGGTGCGAGGTGTTGGCACGTACGACGTCTCAAAGTAAATATAACCACCTAAAGCAATGATATTTTTTATTAAAATTGAAACTTGAATAATTAATTTATTTCTTAAAAAAATTGGACAAAAATATATAGTACCTCTTTGTGCGTCGTCATTGGAACTGCCGTCTTTTGGAGGTCCGCCGAGCCAGTTCGACAGGGACCCTGCCCCTGCCTCCCATCGTAATGAGGAACCGTTGCGGTTACTCCAGTCACATGTCACCAAGTCTGTGTCTGAACCAAAATCGCAAATCTCTGCCGTATCTTGCCGTTTGTCGCGAATCTGAAGGTGAAATTATTTTATTCATAATATAAATTAAATATTCGAAAAAGAAAATAATTAATTTACAAGCAGGCTTTGGAACTCTTCATCTTCAGAGGAAAAGTGGGTGAATGGTGACGTGGAAACCCCAGCAGCGCAAAGGTGCAGCAGAATCAGAAACGCTGTTTGCATTTTCCACCTATTACATACAAGAAAATGTCAATTAAAAAAATATCAAATCTCCATATCGGTCAAAAGTAAAAAAAAGTTATTTTTTCTTCCAAGAAATTTTTACATAATTTTGCGGTAATTTTTATTTTTTAATTTTAACCATGAGAGGTGTTAACAAGCGCAGGGATGGGTGCATTTCGTTACGGCTAATTTGGCGGATTTGCGGCGGCGACTTTGATGAATGATTGCCGCGCACAGAAAAAGAGCATCCAAGCGTGAATGTAAATTTTTGATGGACGCGTTCATCATGTGCATGGATGACTTTTAACTTTCAGTGTAATACAAGTCTTGCTTAATACAGGATGAAAGTTTAAAAAATTATTCTTTTTAAATCATTTTAATTTATTAAAAATTTAGTGTTTATTGTATAATTTAAATATTATGTAAAATTTTGACAATGTAATTAAAATATCAAAATAGCGATGATTTTATCTTAAAGATTTTCCATTTCTTGTTGAAAAATATGCATGCGTGATTTCACGTCTCCCAACGTCTCCAATTTCATATGCAAATTAGCAGATGTTTTTTCTCGCAAACAGAGTCGGAGGGAAAATTTTTGTGTTCGCGATAAAGCACAGGGGGCAAGAACCGATTTATGGCCCATTTATTTTTTCCTGCTAACAAAGTGATTTGTTTTTAAGAACCCGGAAATTGTGAGGGCAGATTAAGGAAAATACAATTTTCTGACACACGCGCATTCAAAAAAATGGGACGGCATAATTCAGCAATTATTTTGCAATTTCAAAAGCAAAATACCGCGCTAATGTATTGCCTTAAATTAATATCAATCCTTGGAAATAGATTTTCCCTTTACATTTCAATTACCTTTTAATTGAATTAAATTTAAGTAAAAGTTATATTAAAAAAAGAAAAAAAATCAAGTAAATTAATTTCAATAATTTTGTATTGGTCAATGTTATAATTCAATTGCTGGAGTTTTAATTAAAAAAATTAAATCAAGGATAATTCTTTTGAATCTTTGTTTTTTTTCTAGACAGAAAGAAATAAATTTTCAAAAAGCCTCGATTTTGGCAGCTTGGTAGTGCTAAATAATTAAGTCGTTTATTTACGACAGGAGTTCAAAGACCCCTGTAAAAACATTCCGCCAGCCCTTGTGGTGCTGGTAAATATTTTATCGCAGAACGGGGCGGAGAGATATTTTTGAACGGAACTATTCTCTCGGTCACTTTGGTTCGCGGCTGCATAAATTACGTACTATACAGTGCACCACTAATATACATTTTCGCTCTCATTTGCATTTAACACGCACGAACATACGTCGGTGGCACGCGCCGCGATTCAGAGGGCTTTTTAAAATGCCCCCTGCTTGATGGAAGGGCAAGGTCGATTGCGATTTGGCCAAATCGACATGCGACCACGATTATTTGCCTGAATTATTTAGTGCATTATTTTCGGGAAAGTGCCGCGCTGAATAATTGAGGTGCGGACGCAATCAACTGAATTTCGTTAAAAGGTCACAGAGTCGCATCGATTTTCCTTCACGCTCGCAGTGATCTGATGGCATCGCAAACGTCATTAAAATGGAAATCCGCCGCGTTTTTCTCTTGACAGCACTACTTCCTGGTGATGGCAGTGCAGTAGCAATGTCACCGGATATATAATGCAGGAAATAGCCTTCAAATTTTTTAAAATAAAAATAAAATTTCCGGAGTTTAAAAATTGTGACAAAATGCAAAAACACATAGTGAAATATATCTTTTTGTTGTGATTTAAAATTAAATTAAACGGAGTAAACTTAAGTGATTGTAAGTGAGTCTGTTTAGTTCATTTTGATTTGATTGCAATGAAATAATTCGATTTGGAGATTGGTAATATAATTATAATGTACACAATGTAAATACTGAAATTTACAGTAAATTAATCGAGTCAAATGGCAATTAGTGTGTTCAAATAGAGAACAAAAATTCAAATAGTAATTTTAAAATAGAATTATGAAACTGGTCTCTAATAAAAATCGATTGCTAAAAATTTGTAATAATTTTATTGAAGTATAAGTTTATTTGTTATAATTTTAAATTATCTTTACTTAATTTACTATTCTTAAAATAAAATGAAAATTTATTTTTAATTATTTTTCATTTTTAATATAATATAATATAAAATATAATTATTTCCAAACCTTGAACTTGGAAATCCACAGCTCGCGCTAAAACTCGCTATTCCTTCCGTTTCGAGCCCGATGAGCCACTGATACTTTTGCGCCTGAACGATAGCAAATAGGCCACCTGCATGACTTGCGTCTCTCCACACGTCCGATGTGCACAAGCAAGAATGTCACGCTGCACTGGTGCGCTCGCTTCAATCTCCGATTCGCACTGATCTCGTGGACCCTCCGGCTGGTATTCGGTTCCCCACCCACCCTGCGCTCCGTCCGGCCGGCGGTGGTCATTGTTTGGGCCTGGTCACCATGACGATGGGTCGTCCAGTTCAACGTTCGCTCGCTGCCCACAGCTAGATAGGCCACACCACCAGCACACGCTACTACTCGCAGTGGGTGGGTGTTTGCACAAAATGCAAATCAGCCAGGGCGAGATAGCGATAGCAATCAACACAAAACACGGGCTGCATAAATTTTATCTGCCAGTTGAAATGCGAGGATGGGGTGTGGGGTGAAATTGCGGATGAAAGGGAAATTCCCGAATTGTTAATTTGTGTAAAATAACAAATGCAAAAATTGTATGTTATCATTCTAAAAAAAAGTTGGAGGAATAAATAGATACATTTTTTTCTGCTCTTTATTATAATCATTTTATCGGAATTTCAAATTTCAGCATCTTCAGATTATTGAATAATTCTATCAATTTAGAGTCAAATTAATTTTGAAATTGTATTTTAAAGTAACGATAAAATAAATTAGATGAGTGAAATAAAAAGGGCGACGCTTGTGAATATCTACCTCATAATTTGAGTGAAACTATGGTTGGGGATACCATCCACGCTTTGTGAAATGACAGAGCGGAAGCTGGCCAATTATCAACGCTTATCGGGCGGGACAGGTAGATGGGTTGCGCATCAAAATAACAAAAAATGCATACAAACTCGGCTAAATCAGAAAATAACTTTTATTTGTGGCAATTACATGTATGCTCTTTTCATGTATTTAATTTTTTTTCTTCTAATTAATTATAAATTTTTATCACCGTCACTAGAGTCATTATAGAAAATCAGATTTTGGCAATTTTTGAGCACCTCCTCGTCGCATGCACCCATAAGAATCACTTTGCAGCAACAACGAGAGGCCCGTCCGAAAAGTGACAGAACTAGAAAGGAAACTTGGTGATTACTCGCTCTACAAAACAGACTGATTCCCCTTGACATCGTGAATTATTACAGCAGAGTAATCAAAGAGACGTTATTAAAATTACACAATTATATTTCTTATCCATTAATTAGATAACATCGAGTGTATCACAACAATCCTTGCAGGCGCTTTCAACTGCAAAGCTAACTTCTTCACGGGATGTAGAGAACGCAGTAATTAGCGTGGAGGAAAAGTTTTCATTTTTCGCAAGCACAACCCATTTGTCAGAAAATCATTCATGCACTCACATCACATTTATCATGTAGCCTAGGGAAGTAGAGTGGGCCGAGAAGAACTCGATTTTGATTTTTTTGCCTAAATAAAGAGAGAGTACTTTACGAAACTTGTCTAAATGCCTAAACTTTAAGATAAAGCACAAAAAGTTTAAAAAACCAAATGACTTTTTGCAGTTTAGAAACAGGCAGCGTGCCTTCCTTTCATTGATATTACACAAAAAATCAATTATATTCATTAGAATAAAAATTGTGAATCTTGAACATTTCTCTTATTTGCTTTTCCTTCACTAAAAAAACTTCTAAAATTTAAATTCCAAACAATTAATTGGGGGGGGGGGGGACTCTAAGTTAGGCATTGTATGGGCCCACAAGAAACAACAAAATTATTTCATATCATCAGGAAAATACATTCTACTAAACGCCACCTCATCCGTTCTTTTAAAATGAACTTCCATCCTTGCAGCTGCTCAAGCTGCTGACAATAAAAAACAGAGATCCAAGCACTGCCCGACGAAGGCTGACTGCCCCAACAACGCACGCGGGTGGAGACAAACAATAAGGCTAGCGGGGGAACAATAATAAATTATGTAGATCGCGAGCGTTCGACTAAGAAATAACCACAGATATGAGAGTGTCAACGGACGTTTTTTGAAGCTAGTTGGTCTCGTAACTAGTGAGCAGTGCGGCGTCCACTGGCTCGAGGCACGACGGACACACAAAGGAACGCATCAGCCAGCTGTTGATGCACTCGATATGGTATGTGTGCATGCACGGCAGGTAACGCACTCCCTCGCCCAGACTAAACTCCATCATGCATATCACGCATCTGCAAAAAATTAAACACAGAATTTAGGAAAACGAAAAAAAAATAGGAGAATAAACAAAAATTGACGAGAACTTTTTTAAACTAAAAATCAATTGAATTAGTCTAAATAATGTGTAAATAGTAAATATTTTAATTTAAAACCTCTATTTTATGAATAAAAAAATTCAGAATAGATTTTGCCATACAAACTTTTTCCATTTTTTTATTTATTTATTTTTTTTTAATAGGAAAATTTTAAAGGAAAAATGACACATTCAATTCAATAATATTAATAGAATTGAAATTTAAAGTAAAATCATCTGTATTAAAATTTTTTATACTGAATGACTAATTTTTTTTTTATTCAATTTATAAAAAAAACCTCTCACTCTCTATTTTTCCTGCAGCCGTCATAGGAGCCTGTAGGCAGATGCTGGATCAGACCGACTCTCTTGGCCATCTTGACCAGTTCCTCTTCCTCAGGGTTTTCAGTCAATCGAAGCCGCGGGCCTTGGTGCTTTTTTGGAGGGTAATTCAACGGCATCGTTTCCTGCAATCAAATTGATACATCAATACTTGCGACAAGTCACCAAAAAAAATTATGCAATAATAAAAAAAAATGGCACATTCATAATATTACAGGCTTATCAAAATGAGTAAGGTTTCCTTCAGAATGCCCTTGAATGGATTCGTTTCATGAGCGGCACGCAATGGCATCATCAAAGCCGCAAGTAATTGACTCAAATATCATTGTGTCTCACTTTATTTTTGCATTTCATTTATGCCTGATTATTTTTCTATTTGCCTTAAAAGTATTCTACAATAAAGTGCAAACATATTTTAAATAAATTATTATTTAATGAATTTTTTTTTAATTTTTTCCATTATGTTCTTGTGGAATAATTAATACTAGATTCAGTGTATAATTAATTTCAATATAAATACAAACAGATGAAAAATAAACATGTTTGCATCATTAAAATAAAAAAAATTATACTGTGAGGATAATTTATTTTAGACAAAAATAAATAAAAATATGGGGCAATCCGCAATCATTAAATTGCCTCCCATTTAAAAAATTTTTCAAATGGCACTTGAAAGAAACTTTGATCGTTTATATTTCCACGCTAGTATTTTCAAAAATTTCTTTTCATATAAAAATTTCTTTTATTAATTACGGATGGAACTAAAAGATGAGTTTGCATTAAATTGAGGTATGGATCGAGTTTTACCAAGAAGCCTTGGTAGTCACTGTGCGAGTCGAGCGAGCTGTAGGCGTCCAGCATGTCCGACGGTCGGACGACGTAGGTGCAGGGCAGCAGTTGGTAGTCCCTGTAGGTGAAGTGCTCGAGCCAGCAACTGCTGGGACCCTGTTGGGCCCCTGCCTCTTCTTCCTCCATGTCCTTCTTAGACTCGCAGGAGGGCTCCTCTGCGGAGGGCGCCTGCTCGTCGTCCAGTCCGGCGGCGGGAAAGGGCAGATGGTGCCACAGGTTGGGCTCGTCCATCGGCAGGGCCACTTCCTCAGACCATCTCTCGCCAGCCAGAGTCGAGGTCGCGACCGCCAACTGCGACGCACTCGGTCGCTGTTGCCACCCGGGCTGTGCGGGAGCCCTGACAGGAGCCCCGACGCGGGAGACCGATGCCGACGACTGTCTGCGGGATTCGGCAACGCTCTCAGGTCGGCCCAATTCGGCCAAAGGGCGTCCGACCTGCGGTGAGATTCGATTTTCCGAGCTGCTCGAAACTCAGCTGTAGTTTGTTGATCCAACCCCACCACCTTTTCTGCGACTTGGTGCGAAGTGACGTCACGCAGAGGCGCCACCGTCCATCCACGGTGCCCTACTTTCGCTTTCCTTTTGAACCTTTTTGTAACCGCTCACCCGTGTCTGACCTGTAAGCGATAGGCCTGCCAAAGAATTTATAATTTTTAACAATGTGGAAAAAATAAAGCGCAGCAGTTCTTTTGAGAATACAAAAGAAAGGTAAAAAAAGTTTCTTGGAAGATGAATAATTAAGCAAAATGTTGAAAAATATCAAGATCAGACGATCAGATGAATTAAATCACAGAAAGAAACTAAAATTCAATGGTTTTTATGAAAATATAATAATAAATTTAAAAAAATAGTAAATGAAAGTAAATTATAATTCCTTAAGTGTTATAAAACTTTGTTACTAACACGGGGGAACAAAATTTAGAGACTAAAATACATGAAATTAATTACAAATTTTAGTACAATTTGATGAACTAATATATTTTTGATAAAATTTTAGGAATAAATTCAAAAGTTTATTGAAATATATATTATATAGCATTTTTATAATAATTACAATTTGAATCCAACCAAAATTATAAACGTTTCGAAGCTTTATTTTTTTAGAATAAAAGAATTTAAGATCGCTCTAATTTAATTTTTATTTTCTTTATTAAGTAAGATTTAAATAGCTATTTTTTTAATCGTGCTATCTCCTAGTGTTAATTAATTCTGAAAGAGAGCTAGACAAATTCACATTTAAATAAATCTCAGAAGAATGTGTTTGCAATCCACTTATAATTTTATAAATCAGTCGTCAAGTCAGTTTTGTGTTTTTAAATTTAATTTCACATGTCCGATGCATCGTGATATCTAATTCGTCCCCTGACAAGCACATACAGCACGTCCAGACTGCTGAGGGACAGCAGGGCTATCAAAGGTCCCAGTACTATAAACAGACTGCCTCTCTCTGAGGACGGACTGTAATTCTGCCGGATGCACAGGAGCACTTGAAACGAGACCTTCAAGGCCCAGGCAAGTAGGTACCAGAGCTTCCGCTGGATGGGGATGGTATTCAGGACACGGCCACCCTTCAAGTGCTGGGCAATTTGGTACAGAATGTAGAGCAGGAGGATGCAATCGTAGATCCAGATGGGGATGAACAAGACAAACCAGTTCCACTGGGTTTTGGCGTCCACTCGAAGGGCCACGAAGATTAGAAAGAGGAGAACTAGAAACCAGGTGAAGAGGGCTCGGTGGATCACGGCCATATTAAACGCTGGCTTTTATTCAAATCTGAAGGCTTTGAGACCTATGGAGACTGCCGGAGTTTATCTGCAAGGAAAAGACAGAATTAATATTAACATGTCATTTTAAAATTGTAAGTGAAGGAAGCTTGAAATTTGTGTCCATAATAAATTAACATAAAAAATATTTAATTTATTCCTCAATCCTGAGATTAAAATACAAAGTAAATCATTCCTAATGTTTTATGTACATAGTATTTATTTAGGATAATAATAAGGAATCTGAATTGATTCAAAGCATATTTACCGGCAAATACATGAATTTCATGCTGAGCTGACAAATAATTTTGATTGGCAATTATGTAAGATCATCTTGATCCGCCGTCACAACACGCGAAACTCTCAGATCAATGACCCCACACGGGCACGGGCCAAGGCAAAAATCCAGATTGACCAAACCTGTATGTTGACCCCGAATGTTGACAAAACGCAGTTGGCGCCACGCCCCCCTCACGTTCTCTTCTCGCAGTTCTCGCCCCCACCAGCAGCGATCTGCGTATGCAAATGTTGATGTTGTTTCTTTCTCTATTTCGAAACACTTTAAAAATCTCACTCGATCATCGTGTGCATCTCGCGAACAGAAGACAACGGGTTGTCGCGTAAAAACGCTATTGTTCATTCGCAGCTGTCGCCAGAAGGAGTATTAATGCGATCGAAATCAAATCGCGCTACAGCTGAATGTCATCCACCGAACAGAAGCTGTGAAAACAAGCCAGAAGCCAGAAGGTCTCGCAACCTTTGAGCCGTGAGGGTCACTAAGCGATAATGATGCCGTTCGGTAAATAACAAGCGGGTGAGTTAATTCGTGTGTCACTTTGTCATGTCATTTGGCCAGATACTGTATAACGAGACAATCATTTTTCAATTTCGTCATGTTTCGCAGGCGTCGGTACCGCGGCTACAGAATGGCAGCAGACGAGGCGCCTGACGACGAAACGGGCGCTCACCACGAGCCCCTGAACGCCGACCAGGTCTACATTTTGATGAAAAAGGACTATCGGATATCGAGGAATGTCAGGGCGCAGTGGTTCATCGAGCACCTCAACCGGTTTGTCAGTCTGGACAGCAATAAAGAAAACGTAAATTAAAAATAATGTTGGATTTTTAAAATTTTAAGACCAAAAATTAATTAAAAATTCACTTTTTCGTCAAGTTTGTTTGCAGTGTATTTATGTTTGACTTGAAAGTTTTAATTCAAATATATTTATTTAAATTACTGAACATTAGCCACGACAAACATACTATTCTTTCTAACCATGTATTTATTGTAAGAAAATTTAAGATTTCTCCAATTCCAGGATGACTCAATCAAAAAGGAACTCACCATCTTGTCAATCGTGCCATCTGATCCTCCAAAAGCCTGGTCAGTCGACAACAGCCATTTGTTCAAATATTTTATTACTCCGGCTACGAGGGTCATTTTTCTGGCTGAAAAATATCGAATGGTCTACTGCCTCGACATCAGTCCTTCTCTTTCTGCAGTGGTGAGAAAATAAATTTTTAAAAATAAATATTGCACAACTGAAGCTCGCATCATGGTTTACAAAAATTATTATCTAAAATTGTAAATTTAGAGTATTTAGGCTATTTATTATTTAGGCTATTTATTCTCCTCGTAATAGAGCACTAATATTTAACGCAAAAATTTAAAGGATATCCAAATGGGTGAAGTGATGCTGGACTGTCTGGTTTCGTCTGTCAAAGCCAGCCTGGAAGGAGTCTCACAAAAAGTAGTTTTTTTTTTGTCAAATTTCAAATTACAACATTTCAATAATTTAATTTCTAAAAGTTCATCATACCTGGATCTACAAAGGTCTTCCAACCAGACGTCTACGCCACAATCATTGCCCACACCCCATTTTTCACTTCGCCTGCTCAACAGGTTCTAGTCCAGGGGTGGCAAGTGACCCAGCAAAACCTTCCGCAGCTGCTGACCATTCTTGAGCAACAGCTGCAGGAACTTGAAGGCAAAGTCGCAGAAGTTTCGGGCATTGCTCAAGCTCAGCTCGACGCTTTAAGGGTAAATTTAGATTTGGACATTAGTTGATTGATGCTATAATACTATTTAAAAACAGGCAGAATCTGAAAGGCTTGTTGGAGGTTTGTTTGAAGAAACACTCCAGCCAATTACGTCGGAGAATCCCATGGTCAGCCCCGACACTGGATTCATTAACATGCTCCGTTTTGGAATGCTTGCTCTCAAATTGCTGCCGGACAGTAGCTCTGCCAGTAAGGAAACAAATAATTAATTTTCTTTTTTCTTTCACCTTCTAATTTCCTGTCACCCACCTGAAATTGTTTTTTAATGCAATTTTTTTTGCTATACTCAGAATGAATTAAATTTTATTTTTCCAGACATCATTGTGGTCACTGACGGCATAATTAACATTCCGGATGTGAATATTTTTGACTCCGTGCTATCTCAACTCCGGAGTAGCACCGTCTGCTGCTCGTTCATTCAAGTAGCAGGCTCGTTTCACCCAAACTGCTGCAAGGGTTTTGTGCCATACTCTGAGCTGATGCAGTTGTTGGCCTCAGCAACTCAAGGGGCTTACATAACTGCCGCTCACAAACTGGTAAAATTTATCAATTTTGTACCAATATCTGTTTTCAAAACCCAATTTTAAATTCTAGGAGATCTCAAAAGAATCAACTATGAATGTTTTTCATGAAGCGTTTCTCACCTGGAGTTTTCAACACTCTGTAAAAGAGTTCAGTCCAAAAACTGAAGTCAGACGGCCTCTGGACTGGGCCAAAAAGTATGTAAATTTTTAAAGCAATTTTTAAGTATACAATTGTATTTAATATTTAGCTATCTTATGAGCAATGAAATCAAAGACAGGATGCTTATTCGTAAAAAGCAAGTGGAAGACACACTGAACGCTCGACTCACTGACGTCTTATCTTGTCGTCTGAGGGAGGGATACATTATAAAGGTCACAAAATTTCCTCTTGTTAAAAAAATTGCTGAATGAAAATATTATTTCCAGAGCTTGAGTCCAAAAGATTCGTCTAGTATAGAAGTGTGTCTGGTGCTGCCATGGAAAAATGACATTTACATTGAGTACTTGGTTACGTCTCAATTACCTCCAACGAATTCTGTTCATTACGTAGTCACTATAGAAGGTTTAAACTAGAAGGAAACTCATTGTTTGTCTTTAATAAATATTAACTACATCTTTCAGCTCCCTATGAGTTCTTACATGACATTACATGTCTCCTGAAAAAACCATTCAAGTCACACTTCAGACAGGCCGTGGTTGGTCGATTTTGGCACACTCTAAAAAACTTGACTCACACAGATCAGCTGCTGGTGCATCTTCACTCTTTCGGCAGCAATTCTTCGTCCTACATGCTGCCAGATAGCATAAAAAGTGGAATGCCTCTCTTTTACCTGCCGAACAACTCGACTCCACCAGCTTTGCTCTCTAGGTAATTTATTTTCTTTATTTTGTATGATTTAAAAAAATCAATCAATGACATGATTTTCATATCTCTTGATTCCCTGCAATATATCAGAAAACTTAATTTTGCTTACAGTGAATCTTCGTACCCGCAATTTGCAAATTACTGGAAGCCTATCTGCCTGCTGGACGCTGCCGTGTGGCAAAAGTGGCTTCATGCCCATCGACTTGGTCTGCTCTTGCAACATGACTTCCCACTGCCCCGCTACCTGCACCAAGCAAACCAATCAGGTCGTTTCCAGCAAGTGCAATGCAGACAGGCAGCCGCTGTGCTCTTTTCTACCCTCAAAGCGTGGAGCTCTTTTGTCCTTATCGAAAACCACACATACGTCAAATTGATACAGAAGTATGTTTTTGAACTCGCTAAAAATCCTGTTTTCTTACTTTTATTGAAATTTAGCGAAAACGAGAAGGTGCCAAGTAGTTTTCTTTTGATGAGAGTAACATCCAAGTTACCCTGTGTGGTGATCAATCTGGCTTTCCTTGGTGGTGCTTCTGGCTGCTTGAGACACCAGGTAATTTAGGATTATTTTTTGGATACTTTTTTCAAGAAATTATGCAAAATTATTTAATGAATTAAAATTTTCACTCAGATACTGAGTGAATTGAAGGCCAAAATGCGCAGCCTCACTTTCCCACAACGTCCTTTAGGGAAGGAAACCATAATACGTAAATTCTCCACTGTCAAGAACAACTCAGCTAGTCCGGAAGAGCAGAAAGCTGTGATCACTTGGTCAGACCTCAACTGCTGCATCCTCCTTGTCAAACCAGTTGAGAAAATACTCATCAGGTAATAATTGATAAATTAGCCACAAGTCTCATTACTGATTGGAGAATTTTCTTAGATACGAACGAATGCCCTCTGATTTTGCAACTGTTGTCTTCCCTGATGGCACTCAACCAATAGGCAAACCTGGCATTGCGGTGCCTGTTGTACCTGCCTCAGGAGGCAGTAGCATGCTGACCACTCTGTCAAGGTACCTCCACCATCGTCGATGGATTTGGGTTGCTCAGCCGGGCCAAAAGGGTGCTCCACCCAACTCAGTCTCCTCGCTAACTCGCACACTGTCTACCATAACAAAGTAAGCATACTTTTTATTTGATTATATGTTGCATTTAATGTTATTGATATTTTAAAATTTTAGAACGAGATTGCAAGAAGGTTTTACTTTTGCCCACTCGACAGCTGGCATCATAAATATGTTGCTGGAAGTTACAATGCAAGCAGGATTTGACACCCATCCTTGTGTCGTACAGTACGTTTTGTTTCCGCCACATCAAGTCACCAACAAAGACAGGTTTGTAGAAGATTTAATTTCTACGATTTCATTAAAACTAATTCAACGAGACTTAAATCACAGTAAAATTTTTTTATTATCCTTTTAACTTGTCAGTAAATTGTTTTTAGGTTAACTAAAACTTGTTGGTGAACCAATTTCTAGTGTATAAGTAAATTTCACTTTTGGCCGTAAATGACATAGGTCAATTATACAGTATACTTTTTTTGCAACATAGGAATTGTTTAGTACCTATTAACCTATAAAAATATTTTTAAAATTTCAGCAATTCCGACGAAGAATGCACCGAAGAAGTTGATCCAACAGAGCCTGAGGGGGAGTTGCAGATCATAACTGAGTGTTGGATTGAGCCGCAGTATGGCCACATAATAAACAGCCCTGCAGAAAGGGCCTACATGGATGGCCTTTCCTATGACCAACTTGCTGATGAGGTAAGTTTTTCGTTTTTTTTTCTTATGCATGCATAATGTGACAGGGTTTTGTCACAAGCGTGGAATTTAGGCCCTCTTCAGTATTTAAAGTATTGAAAGATAACTCTTGTAGAACTTATTTACCAACGCACTTGATTAAACAAGGACGCGGTCCCCCAAATCTAATCAGCTTTCCGTGGACAAATTTTAAAACCAATACACCAATGTAAGATGCCAATCAATATAATAGTTTTCTTTTAATTCTAGTCCTAAATCAACTGTGATTTATACCGATCGACTTTAATTATAAGTAAAAAAAAAATAAAATAAAAAAACAGTTAAATGATTCAAAAGTATTTAAAAAAATTTAGATCTTTAAATTATAATAATAAATTTCTAATATGCATTAAAATTTTTCTCTTACAAATCAATCAAATTATTTTAAATTTAAATTGCGTACTTAATATTGAACTCCTAATCAAATATATTTTTAAGTAGTTGTTTCGCCTCAATGTGCTCCTTACAAACGAGCAAACACGTATCTCTCTTACTTTTTTGACATTTATCTTATCAAAATTCGTTTGTGTGTATATGATGCTTAAACATTTCTACTCGTCCACTCTCACACGCACTTGCTGCGAAACATTTCGTCACACGATTTTTTTGATGGGCGCGATTATTTGAGCGACTCGTGTAATATAAATATATTTTGCAATTCCCGTTCTTGATAAAAAGTATTTATATGTCGTTTGCTGATTGGGGAGAAAATTAGTCGATCGTTTTTAAGCTGTCGGTTTTGTTTATTTTCTATTCAGCCTTTTTAAACACTTGAAAAAAAAATCGGCGACGGCGGTATTTGCTCAGGGTGGAGATATGCCAAAACCCGAAAGTGTTCTGTTTGACAAATCCATTCGATCCAAATGATAACTTCCATTTTAGAGATAATTAATTAGTGCGTCAGATAGGGAATGCAGTGGTGGGTGTCACAAGTATTTTTGTGGAAGGCTAAAGGCCGTTATAATTTGATTGATTATTTGTAATTAGCTGATTACAAATAAAAAATATTAAAAGTCCAGTGCTACATATTTCTTTTCATGTGTGACAAAGAACTATAATTAATTTTTAATTGATTTAAAAAAAGTTATAAATCTTTTTACTAACTGTAAATGGATTTGAAGTATAAAAAAGTACTGGGCTTTTCTTTGTTGAAAGTAGTTTTTTTTAGACTTAAATTATTTGTGAGTTAATGAAGGCTTTAACGTCACAGAACTCTTCAAGAGCAATTTTTTTTTCAAATTTGCAAGGAACTACTATTTTGCATTTGCAAAAGTCGTCAGCGGCCGCGATACCGCGACAAGATGAAGATTAGCCCGCGTTTCAAGGAGGCGTATTGCGAGATAAAAGCTCTTGGGCTTCTCCAAATCGATTACGTGTGTGCTGAAATCAATTAATGGTAAAATTTGCTGTTAAAAGTAATAAAACGGAGAATTACTCCTGTCTACCTGAACAAACAGCCAATCAGCCGATAGTAAAAAGAGCATATGTGCGCATTGGGAGGTGCTTTTCTTTTTCAAACCTTTAATAGAGGCAAGGCACAGCAAATAGTGCACAAGTTTTAAGAGATCCGAGAAGCGTACATTGGCCGATAAGAACCAACGTCTGTCAAAAGCTCCGGTTGCAACGGAAAAATCAAATAATACGCGATTGGAAAAAAAATCAGGCGCTGGCCTCATTTACATTATTTGTCCGCTTGCTTTGATTGGAAGTTGTAAAACAGAGGTGCCGCCAATGTAGGTTCTAAAGTGGATTGAGAAATAGACAAATATATATAGGCTCAGGCTTAGAGCATTAGAAATAAAGTGGCTGTCTTATGATTTGGGAACATCTAGTAAAAAATCATTTATATGAAATGAAAAGTCATTTCCCCCTAAAATTATACTAATTAAACTAATTTAAAAAAAAATAACCCTAACTGCTTATATATTGATATATTTTTGAGAGAAATCCGTAATTTTTTATTTTCATATAAAGTTTCTAATTTCAAATAGAAGTTCCAAGTTACATAACAATAAGCATGAATTTATTCTCAAAACTTAAATTTGCCACAAAATATTTCCATTGCTTCATTCCTAAGTTACTCATTATCTGAAAAATATAAATATATTCCTATACAGTGATTTAATTTTAGAAGACTAAACACTAAAGACCATAATACTTGATGGAATAAGGAATCATAAAGTTATCGGGAATAAGAAATAAATGTTTCTAATATATATTGATCCAATTATTCCATTTGCAGTTCAGATTAAAAAATACCATGAAAATAAAGAACCAGCCAAATTAAGCAAAATGAAGAGGCTGTGAAATCCTTTCAAATTTCCGAAAGAGCAAAACAAAGAAATTGACGCAGCACATGAAAATTAAATCAAGTAGCCACGAAATATAATGCCGCTATCAAAATCAAATTAATGGCAGTGATTACAAGATTATCGTTTTTGAACGTCCATTGGATAATAAAAGTCCATACTTTTTATTTTCAACTCTGCATATTATTACATGGCAATTTTTTCCGGCGCATAAAGAAAGTGTTAAGAGTTCATTGTGGGACGTTCATTTCCTTTCCAATGATAAAATAAACAGTCCCTGATTTTCCCTGGTGGACGGACGGGCGAATCTATGGGCGTATATATATTTGTATAAAAAACGCGACGGAAGGAAGGAACGGTGAGAGTCACCTGCCTGCCGGTCGGAATAACCCTTTTCCTTGCACGCGCGCACCTCTCCGGTGATTTCTATACGCGAGGCAGCAAGCGAGCAGCCGCGTTGGAAGGCTGGGCCCTTATCAGTGCCCACGTACTTTGGCCGGGCACGTCGGCTATATAAGAGACCGCCGATAGCGCCCGACGGTCATTCTCTGCCTCGTCCTGCGTCCCCAGCGTCCGTCAGGATTAACGCCGTCCGTCCTTCCGTCCGTGTCGCCTCTAGTTGGAAGTGGGGGTCTAGGCATTGTGCGATCGGCCCTCTGATTGCCAGATCTAACTCTTCCAGCTCACGGCGACACGAAAAACCTTCCTTAAGTCCACCAGGAATTACATTTAAGTCGGTCCAATTTGCTTTGTTACAACTTTGGTTGGTATATCAAATGTGAAGTTTTTGTCAGTTCTCAAAATTTATACAACTGTAAAATAATCTTATTTTGTTGAATTTAAGTTGCATCGAAGTTATTTGAATTTAAGTGAAATTTCAAATAACTATGTTATCACTTTAATGCACCCTTTTGATTAACTTACTGCATGTTTTATAAGTATAGTTTTAATAATGTAGTGTAATAGTGAATTAGTTTTGTAATGATTTTGCAATTCACATCACAATCACGTGTCAGTCCACAAATTTGGAATTAACCTTAAGAATTTATGATTTTCATTATTTTCAATACGAAAACGTAACGGTTCATTGTGACTAATCGCTCCCTCATAATTTTCTTCTGCGCGTTATCCTTCAGAAGAGCGTGTTTGGTCACACACAGATAAAACAGTAGATATTGGGAGGCGCCAATATGTACCTTGCGGTGTGGATGGCAAGGTGGATTATGATGTGATTCACTTCATTATCAGAGCACTCGAAACGCTCCTCTCTTTTATCTTATCTGCCCTAAAATTCGGTCGATTTGTCGTCAATTCGACCGCCCTAAACGCATGGCCGATGGCTGGACTAGGTGGAGGAATGGCATCTCCACTCGATCTCAAGCAAGTGAGATTCATCTCCTCCAACTTGGCTCATACCATCTTGACTCGCATGCCTCGTCGATCGTTTCAGAAAATCCGCTTTTGCTGCATGTTTTTAATGATCTCTAACTCGGTGTTAAAAAGATTGTGTAAATATTTATTAGATTAGTTGGTTGTGCATGATACTGTGGTGGAAATTACATCTTAATGTTCTTTATTTCTGTTGGGTTCAATAAATACACCGATTGTACAGAATTTTTGGAAAATCTTGACTTTTTGCAACCCTTCTAATCCTAATATCATTGATATTATTTATTAATTTTTGATTTTCTCTTTTCCTGAAATTCAGGTGGCAAAATTATAATAAAACGATAAAAAAAGATTTTAAGATTAAAAATATCATTTTGTATTTTTTATTAATTAGTTTAATTTAACCTACATTGATATAATGAAAAATGTTCACAAAGCAAAGTTAAGTCGGCAATATGTTGAGATTATTTGTTATTCAGATATATTTAAACAAAACAAAAAATTAAAAAATTTCTTGTTTCGTCGATTTCATCAAGTATTGATTTAATGATTTATAACAAGTTTCCAATCGCGTGTGTTTTGCCATTGCATTTTGTAGTCTAAGTCAGTATTCAGTTGACAAAATAAAAGATTTTGATGAATAATCAATTTATTTACTGTATTTTCATATAAAGACCATAAATTTTATAATTCTTTGAAAAAGAGAATCAACACCCGTGAATTTCTTTATAACCTGTACAATATATTTTTGAAAATTTATTTCACTAATAAACAAAATTCAAATAATCAAGTTCACGGCTCTAATTATTATTATTTTTTTAATAAAAGTGAATTATGATTTGGAATTATTTTGATAGTTGTTAAGTTTTAATATAGCTACAGGAAAACGACAGTAATATAAAATTTCACGATAGAGGGTGATTCGTGAGTTTTAAAACGTCTTTTCCTCTTTGGGTTTATCGCTTAATGTTTTTCTACGAAACAATAAATGTCATTTATTATTAAATGACTTAAAAAACATCAAGGAAGATATTTTAAATTCGAACACCAACAATTATAAAGTTTTAAAAATCAATGGAAGGTGGATGCAACATTTTTGAATTAATTACATAATTAAAAAAATTGAAGTCTGCTCCGATTGTTCATAAAGAAGATGATACTCATGATACCCATGCATGACCTCACATTTTATATTTCATGTTATGCTTTGTTCCAGATTTGCAAAGTTGACGCAGAGTGCATCTCCTCTTTACTCACATTCGAGCACTTGTCTGTCATTGGCAATGAAAAGGTCCCTACTAACCTGCCACCATCAACTCCGATAGACAAATTTATACAAAATGGTCATAAGTAAGCATGAAGTAATAAATCGCACCTATCAGTTTTAAATTAAAATTTCCAATAGCAAAAGTTACAACGCAAGCGTAAAAATGCTACCTGAACAGAGAATAAATGTGATGCCATTCACTTTTAATCTTATCAACCTCCTGCCCAAATGTCAGCAGGCGGAAATGCTGTTTTCGTCTTTCATTCAAGGTATATGTTTTGAGGAATAATTTTTTCCTAGTAAACTATATTTTATTAATTAATAGATCTGGCTTGGAGCTTTCCAATGAATTATGAAGCCTTCAGTTATTTGGACACGGCCAACAACATGCTATTGCAAATGGCATACGACAGTTTGTTGAAGTGCCATGACTGTGAGCTGTTCCTGAGCCATATGGACTCTAAAATGTTCCTCGACTTTCTCAGGCAAAAGGAAAGGAGTAAGAGTGCATATCCTTCTCCGATTCCACAGCAGATTTCTTCAGAAGGTAAAATTAGTACTTAAAATGACGTCATTGCCAATGTTTTACTTGAAATATAAAATTATGTTCCAGAACAAGGTAAAATGTCTCCAGCAGGTTACGATGTTTTCAACGATGTACACCTTTGTGACAAATTCCTGGCAAACCTCAAAATGTGCAAATATCCCAAATGGAAGTGCTACCTGAAACGAGTCAACAACTCGCACCTCCTCTTGACTTTCGTACCTGCCAGCTTTGCTGATCTCAAGTTGCTGATGCTCTCTCAAATGACGATGGATGGCCAGGCGCCTCAGTCTGTGAAATGCTTCTCACATTTGTCCAACGTGAATGAGCAAGACAGGCACAGTGTTTTTGACGAAGGCGCCGAGTTGAAAGACTCGCTCGAGCGCTTGGAAAACTTGTCCATCCCAGAAAGTCACAGTGTGCCTGAGATGTGTGAGCCACTGTTGGAAGGACGTCCCCCTCCACTTGCGATAGCCCCGTTCCGAGAGCGGGCCTACTCTCTTGATGCAGAGCAGCGCAAACGAAGCTTGATGGAATTTAGAAAAAGAACCCGAACATGCTCAATGGACTCGAGGCACAAAAAGAAATTTTCACTCCAGCCTTTAAGTCCACCACAGCTTGAGGAGCTCGGATCCAATCCCAAGTTGCCAGTAATTCCACCAAACCATAAGCCTCAATTCGGAGCCATAACACTGCCTGTGTTCACTTACGACTGCCCTTTGGCCACCCTGATAGAGGTGTTGGTCTATAAGGAGAGCGAGAAGAAGGCAGGTGACATCTACGAGGACCACACTTGCAGCAGTGGTGGTGAAAATGGTATTGACGAACACAAGACGAACAAGGAGGTTCTTGACGTTGAGGGAATTGAACTTGGTAGGATGCACCTGGCTAGCCCTGAGCCAAAGTCTGAAGACTCGGATCTGTCTAGAGGTAGATTTAGCTTGAATTAATCCACTTTTTATTTTGACTCCGCTGACTTATTCTTTCTTTATTTAAAAAATTATTTGTTTCAATTTCAGAGATAAATAGCTTGAAGCAACAATGCAAGCTAGTGAAAGCATCATTTCATCGCTCCTATGTGACTTCGTTGTTCAAGTCTCTGCAGTTGGGCAGCTTCATTTACGCTGAGGATGTACAGAGCGCAGTTCGTGACTGTGATGAAACGAGCGTTGAAATAGACCTCACAAAATTTTTGAAGGCTGTTTGTGGGCACCTGAAGGAGTTTTGGGTTACCCGAAGGCTGGACCTATTCAAACCACCATCAAAAGTTGCAGGCAACGATCTGTTCAGTTTAGCCAATCTTCACCAGAACGACTTGTGCGGAAGGCTCAAGACAAAGCACATAGTTGTCAAAGAGCAGTTCAGTTCCATCCTCTCTGATTTCTTCAAAGCCGTTCCTTCAAATCCCAGGTTCTTCTTCAGCATTCCCAAATGGGAAAGGGATCAGCAGGTAAATTAAATTTTGAATTATTAAATAGAGATTAAATTTAAACAAAATATTATCTTATCATTCATAGGTTGAGAACAGCATCACAGAAAATGAGCAGCTAGCTGACCAAGAGGATGTAAATTCAAATTACAGTCATGACTTTAATAGTCGAAGAGGTTTATACATTGTTATCATTGAAGCTTCTGTTTTTTTATTAAATATTCAAAAATTCAATAGGAAGTCACAGTTGGGAGGTTGGAGGAGATGATACTCACACATCAGATAGTGTCAGTGATCTTCCTGAGGAAGAAGTGTCCTCCGAGTTGTGCCCTTTGTTTTTACAACTTGTTTGCTCCGTGCATCACAGCCATGGTGTCACAAGACATCCAATATCCTCACTTCCAACTTGCTTAGGTCAGTTACTTTTTATTGTATTATTATGTGTTTGTATTTATTGCTGGGAAATATTTTAGCTGAAATAGGGTCTCTGATGACTTCGGACGAAAATGAGATAAGCGTCTCGTCGTTAAGAGTCCACCTTGATGTGCAGTGTCTCACCATTTTACCGAATTTGGAGCCATGCACATCTCAGTTGGCTTTAAAGCAGACCCCTCCTGACCAGGTCTATGAGCAGATCCAAAATGCTGCAAACAGTACCCTGAATACTTCAGTCAGCAGTAGCAGCAGTCTCGAGACAGAGTGCGTACCTAAATTATTCATTTTTTCTTTAATTTTTTTTTTATATATTTTTTATATTTGTTTTCAGATTAAAAAGTGAAGAAGTTTCTTTGAAGCTCTCTCACCTTCCCGATTATTTGCAAAAGGCGATGATTTCAACTATGAATAAGGTTTCCAAGCCATCGAGATACATAATTTTATTTCTTTAATAAATTTTTATTGTTAGATCAAGTGGCTTTTGCAGGATGAACTTGCTTCTTCCCTATTAGACGTTTTCCCTCCCTCTGAATCAACCCTTCAAATGGTAGCCCAACATGTAATGAGCTCAGTCGACAGAATAAACTGCTCTATGGAAAAAATCGACCTTCACTTTGTCTTCGGGGCGGATCACAGTCTGAATAAATTTATAGAAGTAAATCGTTATAATTTATTTAAAGTGTCCCTTAACTGAAAATTAAAATTTACAGAACTTTGTGACGCTAAGGATTGGGTGCTACTTTTTACGCAAGGAGGGCAAATATTACCACTTGGTGCAAGATAGAACAGCTCGACAACACAAGATGCAGTCAACGCCTGTCAATGGCCCTCACTTTAAGTCGATCGCAACGCCGAGCTCCCTGGCAGAGGACTCGTCTGAAATGTCCATCTACCAAAATGAAGGAATCAACATCCCGCAAAGCCATTACAGTGTGTATTAATTTTTGGCATTAAATTTATTTTTTCATATTCATTTTTAGGCGAATCAGACATCCAAGCTTTAGGGCTTGACAGTACCCCAACAGATGAGCCCCTCTCCAGGCCCTTGAGTGATTTAAAACTGCCAGCAGCGCTGGAATTGAGCAAGATGGTGGAAAAGTTGAAGAAAGAGCGGAAAACAAGTGCTGATTTACTCACTACGGCTGAGAGGAAACACAAACCTCCTAGCTCTCTTTGGCTCGACACCTGTAGTTCTTCCGCACCAACAGCCAGCTTTGATGTAAACAAGGAGATCCTTAGGTACGCAGAATTTTTTCAGTTTAACTGAATTGCATTTAAAATTTTGTTTAGCAATGTCATGATATCCGAAGGGATCGACCATGAGAACCTCGAAGCTTTGTGGGACATGCGAGTCAAGAGCATGAGCAGACCTGGCAGCAACAAGACTCCTGGAAACCAGAGGACAAGGAATTTCTCTGGAGCAATTTCAACAACAGGCCCTAACAGTGAAACGTCAAGTTTTATCGAAGAAAGTGCCCAAGGCACTGAAGAAGGTATAAAAAAATTTAAATTTTGTAGCTTTATAAAATTATTTTAAATGCTAGGTTATGATGGTGACTCCAGTGAAGATAATAATTCGCAATCAGATGATTATCTTTCTGGTTGGGGCAACGAGGAGTTTAGTGGGGTGGCCCTACCTAACTTTTGGCTTGTCATGGAAGTTACCAGTGATCACGTCATTACTTATTTCCATTGCAGGTACTTGTTGAATTTGATTATTATATTGGTTTATACATATTTTCTTTTGCAGAAATCAAGGCAAAGAGATTTCAAAATTCCGAGAGGTGCGCAATAAAGTGATTGCGAGTATCCTTGAGACTTGCAAGCTAGTCAACCAAATTGCTCTTCTTCAAAATCTACATGACACTAAAAATTGTGACGATCTCCTCGAAGCTGATTTGACGAAAGATAACTGGGAGTCGTCAAAGAGCAGGAGTAGCTCTTTCAAAGGTTGATTTGGTTTCATTTGTGTTTGAGAATGTGCGCTTAAAACAATTTTCTCCAGATGATCAGGAGCAATCACAATCTATTTTCAAGCCAGGCGCCTTTTCCTGCAACGTAGTGTGGGAGACGCAGTTTGTTTTGCACCCTAGGCTCAAAACGGGGGGCCCTGCTAAAAGAGGAATACAGGCCTTGGAGTCTGTCCTCAGCAGATTCCCTGTCATCAATAGGAAAAACATGTTTGTGTATCAAGACAATTTGCAGAATGTGTTCTATTTGAGGTAGAATTTCAGCATCAAAAGATAAAAAAAGAAAAAAAAAAAATGCTTTCCAGATTACAAGAGCCTGCTTTATCATTAGTTGGAAGTAAAATGACACCAAGTTCGAGCTCAAATCAGGGAATTTTCCTGACTGATGGTGAGATGACTCCACCTGGAACTAGCTTTGCTCGAAGTCCATCTATATCCTCTCTGAAGCGAGATGACAGTTCTAGAGTATAAAATAAATATTTAATCTTACAGCCGTAATATTCCAAATTGTTGATAGATTGAAGTTCGACCTAGAGTGAAGTCGTATGGCGAAAGAGACATGCCTCTCGATGGTTTTTCTCCCACTCCTTCTTCAAAAAATGAGGAGGCTGTGGTCCTGAAAGTTCATGGAATTGCAGAAGCTGGTAATTTATTTTGATTCTTTAATTTTAATTTTGATTTTTTAATTTAAAAAATAAAATAGGCTCTGCCATCAAAGAGGACTTGGTGCAAGTACTGCACAATCGGCTTAACGATGCCGTCCTTGAGCTTCTCTGTGCAATGCTGTTCAGAAATCCAATGTGCAAACTTACCCCTGATGATGTCCATTTCATACAGAAGCCTTACAAGCAGGCAGACATGTCGATAGACGTAAAATTTTCTACTAATTAAATAAACTTATTGATTTAAGTTTTTTATTTTTAATTAGTTCTCAATCCAACCTTTTGCCATGGAGAATCACCAAGCACTAGTTTACTACCTGAAGCAAAATTTACTGGAGTTTTTGTACACTCCCAAATACACTGACTCAAAGGCGGAAAATCACTTTCAGGTTAGAAAAAGATTGATCTTCATCAACTGAATATTGCTGACAAATCATTTTTTGCTATGATTTTAGGATTACACACATGACTTCTTCTCCAAGGACAGAGTGCCAGAAGATGATATTTTCCTGTACAACCAAAATCGAACATCCGGAAACAAAGGCATTGCCTGCATAGCTGTGGCTATTGTTGATAGCAACGGATGTCTCCTCAAGCCTGATAAATTTACAAAGCCCAACTGTCAAGCCCATGTTGATTCGATCATTAACATGGATTTCATCAACATCACTAGCACACAGATGTGTAATGCTGGAGACAAAAGTAAGAATCGCTTACTATTTTATCCAAAGTTGTAATAAAAAAAATTGATTTAGCTGCTCGAGTGGAATTTAGGATTTGGAAGCAGGGAAAGGTCAACTCTGATCTGCTTACAAAGAATCTCCAGATGGCATTGCAGCATACGTTTTGGGATTTGCAGATGGAGTACCGACTTCTCACTCCATCTTTGTCTCAAGATGGTATTTTTTCAATTAATTCACTGAGTACTAAATTATTAATTACGATTCTGGTGCAGACGGAGATATGTCTTTGTCACAACTGGATGCTATGACGTCTTCAAGTGATATGCCTATAATGCTTGTAAGTCAAATGTGCCTTTTTAAATCAAATACTCATGACCAAATATTTGGCTAGACTTCATTCCTAGCTGGCTCTCCAGTCTCCGCAAAAAGTTTATTCCCCCCGGAGAGCATCGATCAGTTCGAGTCTGGTGAAAAGGGTCGATTACATCAAGTCTTCCACTGGGTTATGACTGAATGGCTAAGCTTTGCTGTTGAAATTGGAGTCCCGTCGGTGAAGAAGCACACAGTTCACTTCAAATCACGGTAAAAATTAATCCGAAATATGATCAAAGTTTTCTTAAAGTCAAACTTCAAAAATAATTACAGCCAAGACATTGCATTGACCTTGAAGGAGTTCCAGAAAATAATCATGGCAAATGCACCAGACAGTTCTGTGGCCATTTTTCAACTGTCTCGAGATGAAAATCATGATATTTTCATCCCTTACCAACCAGTGTCTGCATTTTCTGCAGGCAGCCGCTGGGATAAAGCAGACACCTCAACGTCGTGCTTACTTTTTGGTCGAAACCTCCAACAGTGGAAGGCTTGCGTTTCTGATAATGGATCTGCTGACCCGGATATTTTAAGTCCTAAGGCACAAAAGGTGCTTCAGAAATTTGCGCCCCTCTTTGTTCCATGTCCTGAAGGGCTCCAGTTTGTTCCTCGCCAAAGACTCTTACTTGCAAACTTATCAAACAAAGAGGTAATTTAGCATTTACAATTAGATTGTTCTCACTGCTTTGATTGAAATTAAATAATGATATAAATCTACAGATTGTGATTTTTACCTACAACTGGTCCAAAGATAGGGCTGAGAATATGCATCGACAGATTACCAATCTGGGCAACTGGCTGGCTGCCAAATCGAGTTTGACCACTACAATTGTGTGTCAAAAGATGGGTCTTTTTCACAACATGATGTTCAACAGGCAAGCTCAAGAAGCCAAAAAGGGATCCGCTGATACGGTAAGAGCAATTTTTAAAACAAAATCCTCCCATTATGATTTATTTATTTGATAATTTTGGTGGCAATAAATAATTTTATTTTTCAGACAAAACTGACTTTCAAGGATGTGGAGCAACTTATAAAACCTCCAGCAGTTACCCAAAAAGACTTCAGTATGGGTGGCGGCCGACGGCCAAGCTTGCTGCCCAATGCCATGATTCACGACGTCTTCAGAGACAACAAGCCATCCCGCTTACTCCGACAGAATTCAGATCCTGTTACTGCCAACGGACAGCATCTTCTGGAGCTGTTCAGCATGGAAAAGAAAGGTCCTCTCTTCTAAATTATATAAGATGAATTTATTTTAAAAATACATCTCTTGCAGACTCTCAAAAAAAGCTGTACCAATTGTGGGAGACGAGAGTTACTACTCCAAACATTCCAGTATCGGAAGATTTGCTTCAGCTTCTCAAGCAACATTCCAGAGTCATCCACTTTTGCCTGACACCACTTTTGTACCTTCCAAGGTTTGATAATATTAATATTGATAGTGGCAAAAAAATTAAATTAAATTGATTGATTACAGTTGGCGACTACAAGCGGCTGCTACTCGAGACCACACTTTGGCCTCCAATGTTCCTCTGAAAAGTCAGCAAGAGATGGCCAAATCTTATGCACTTGCTCCCGTGAGAAAAATCGTACTTATTTTAAATGACGAATAAATTAAATTTCTTAAATTACAGCCTTCAAGACATGAATCGGGAAACTCGCTCAAAAGCAATGATGCTGGGAAAAGCACAAAATCTAATAGTTCTCCACAGATGTCTCCCAAATTCAAACAGATTTCCGAAGAGAAATGGCATTCGAAGTTGTGCCAGAGCTTGATTGATGAATACAAGCATTATCTGACTACCCTTGGCTTTGTTCCTATCCAAACTGAAGCTCCTTCGCCAAAAAAGAGGTGAGATAACATAAAAAATAATTGACTTAAAAAATAATGAAAAAAATTTACAGTATGAAAAATATCAGCAAAGACGAACGTCAGCGTAAACTGAGTGGTTCGAGCATAATGTCCACTTCCTCCTTCAAGCGGGTCCGAGAGGATAACACCACAAGACACTTCTTGCAAAAATCGCTGCTTGGTGGTATTTTAATATTTGAGATTTCTCTGAACGAGCCGTTCATCCAAGCCAAACTCTACGCTCTGGAGTGCTCTCGTCTCCAGGCAAAGTCCAGTGGCCTAATTTCTCACAATCAGGTTACTTTGATATTATTGAAAAATATTCAATTTTATTCTTCCACTATTTTCTTTCACAGTTCACCTTCAGCTTCTTGGACGAGAGTGATAAAATAAAAATCCTGATGCACCTGCACTCTTTCACATATGACTATCATCTACGCTGCATTCATAACTACATCACCAACCAGCACTCGATGCTTAAGCAGAATTTCCACCTCCGAAATTTCCTGGACGACTTCATCAAATACTATTCTAAAGGGCCTAACTATGCGCGGAATCTTGTTTATGGAGGTATTTTTTGTTTGGTGATGAAGTTTTATTTGTTAATTTAATTTCCATTTTTTTTTCAGACGCTGTGAGAGTCACAGAGACTACTATGCCAGCATTGCAGCTATTCAACTTTCTATGGACGCACGAGGATTTGTATAAGATGGAAGTGTTTTGCATGAGTCCAGAAAATGAGTTCACAACTGTATGCAGTCATTTTTTTTTTGTGAATTGAAGCTTATGGTTTTCAAACAGGACAACGAGTATGTTTTGATCCAGTTGAAAAGTACACACCCAGTCATGTACAAGGATAACCACGATGTCAAGCAGACGGACGATTTTGACGTCACTCTTATAATATCCCATGCCCAAATGGATGATGAGCCTCAGAATCCATTCGCTCTCAATTTGAAGTACTACATCCTCCTGACGAGTAGAAGGTTTGCAATTTCAATTTTTTTATTTCTAAATCTCTAAATAATTGTAGATCCAAATTAGAGATTTGCTTCCATATAAATATCATTCATATTAAAATATAATTTTTTGAACTCATCAAAGTAGTGCCCATAGTAAAAGCCACAATTTCAGGGAGCACTTTCCTAAGCACATCGTCGAGAGAAAGTTAGGCAAGTTCTGCACAGTGCCCTTGGCAACGCCACCTCAGTTTTCTCTACTCGGCTCAACAAGCAACCCTAGCTTTGAAGAACAAGAATTGGAAGAAGAAGATGAGCCAGATTTTGAGGGAAGTTCTGAGCTGGATGAGAGCAAGATTTTGATGGCAAGCTCGCAGCAGCAATCTGCCGAAATGCAACTGCTCTTCCCTCACTTAGAAATCAAGTACATGAGAAGAATGATTATTTCATTAGTAATTTTTGATGATTTCAATAATAGAATCAATGCATGCTGCTTTCATATCTTGCTGTAAATATGCATTAATTTATACTGACATTACTGACAAAAATTCTTCTGACTTTTATTAAAAAATAAATATATTTTACATTATCATATATCATATATGAAAGTCAAACCAGATTCATATCACATTTTTGTTAATTTTCCTTATTATTATTTTTAGGCAAGAAAATGTAAATTACATGGGCTATTATTCATCCCATGAGCAGTTGATGCAGCAACTGATGATGCAACAGGCCAATGAGGCAAAAGAGCAGGTCCTTGGCATTGTGCACCAAGGACTCACATGCTTTGGGAGGCGCTGCTCAACAACTCTCCCCCAGAAGAGAAATCCAAGAAAAAAGACGTAATTTTATTATAAATCCCCAAAATTATTTTTAAATTTAAACTTTGTCATTTAGCTAACCTTTGGTGAATTTCACGAGTTGCTTCGACTTGCATCAGTTGAATCTCTGAGCAGTTTGGATCCCAGATTGGGTCCTCTGTTGTGCCAACCGCTGTCATGGTACCAGAGCCTCGAGAAGGTGCTAATTACAAAATATGGATCTGACGTTGTGCGCCGCTTCACTTCTGTGGACCAGAGTGTCCAGCACACTGTCGTTCTATCAGCCAACTACTTAGAAGCCTTCGTCATGCTCTCAATCGATGCTCACACCTCTCGAGGGGTAATTATACATGTTGCTGTTATGAAATCTAAAAATTCTTATTTTGAAATTTTACAGGAATTGTGGGTTGTTTGTCGAAAGGGGCAAGTCGAAACGCTGCACAGCCTTCGGTACCACTCGCCTTTGCTGCAGAATTTGGTCGAGAGCTTTGTCAACGCATGCTGCTTTCATCTCTGGGCTAGTCTTATTTGAGAAAAGAAATGTATGGGCTCAATTTAAAAACCCTAAAGACTGAAGACAAGGTTTTAAAATGTTATGTTTGAAGATTCATATATGTATTAACCAATCAATAAAACTATCTTATCTGCAATTAACACCTTCTCAACACCTGATTTCCTTTTCAAATAAAAGCAGCCAATTTATTCTTAAATTTCAAATAATTTATTAAAAATTTCGTTCATGATTTCAGCTGAGACATTCAAAGTTAATTATCTAAAATGCATACAATGCTTTAAAATCTAAATAAGTCTCAATTTGTATGATTTGTATAATAAAATTCATAAAACATATTTGTTTTCCAAACGAACACTAACTATTTTTGACAAAGAAATGTTCAAATAATACTTAAAAAGTACTAGTCATCTTTAAAGACTTCTTTTCCATTCTCATTAAAACTCTTCGTTTTCGTAGCACTTCTGACACATATTGGAACTGTGTTTGCTTTGTTTTGGTTCCTTGGAATCAGAGCAAGCATCACATGAATCAGTCAGTTCTGGAAGATATGGAATTCAATAAATTAGGTCAGTTGTTCTGGAAGTAAACAAAATATCTACCACCATTATCAGATGTATTGGACGCCTTTTTGGCCAACGATCTAGATTTTTTCTTCTGCTCTGCTGGCTGAGTTTCCATTGTCTTCTTGGCCTTGTCCTAGTAAAAAATTCATGAAAATAAATTCTTCCAAAGAAAAAAAACAACACACTGTTGCCAATGACTTCTTGCAGCTCTCGGTGTTGCACAAGCACTGCTGAGTGTTGGTGCCGTCCAGCTTCCAACCATAGTTAAAAGTCAGCTCTTCCCCTGCTCTGACGTCTCTCAATGTGAAAAGGCCCACGCGCCTTTCACCCAAGACATTCCAGTGGCTGGACTGACAATTAGGTTCACAACTGTGATTGATAAACCTACAAGAAAAATTTTAAATGGCGTAAAATTTAGAGCATATCAATATTACCTGCTGAGATTTCCCTTAAACTTTGCATCAATGTAATGGTTGCCGCCAAGCTCCAGGAAGTAGAAGTGTTTCTCTTTGTTTTCTATGTACCCTCTCTTCCGTCTCTGGAATTCTTCTTTGTTAACCACTTCACCTACGTATTCGACAACAAATGTTCCTGTTTGTTTGAAAATAACAGCTATTCTGATAAGAACTGAAATTTAATTTGCTATTAACCTTTCTTGAGATCTTCTTGAGCAGTGAGACCCCAGCCCTTGGCACCCATCAATTTCAGCTCTGTTGGTGCATCCTGGTGTAGTTGAATGCGCTTATTTTGACACAAATCGCCAGTCGGGCACTCCTTCAAGCACTCCATGTGCAAACCTCTGAAAGATAAAAATGACAAGTGATAACTTATATTTGATGAAATCAAAAATATTTTATTAAATAACTTATGGTTATTATTATTTTTTTCAATTTAAGATCAACTGACCTGTTGTCACAATTCTCACCACATGGATCAGAACCGTCTGGTTTGCAATGGCAGGGCTCATACATCATGTCATCCTCTTTGAATGGTTTGCATGGCTTCACATAAATGTTTTTCTTGATGCGGCGATAAGAAGGAGGTTTCTAAAAGCAAAAGTTATATGAAAATGAAAAAGGGGCTCACTCTAGTTTCGTAGCTTACTTTGTCAAGTCCACTGTTGAAATGCAGATAGATTTTTTGGTCCCAGTAAAGGTCCCTTTCATCAAAATCCTTCATAGCCTCCTCTATGCCTTTAATAAACTTCTGGTCTTTACCAGACGAGTTTGAGCAAATCGCAACATCGTCCTGGAAAAAAATCATCTGATAAGTAATGAAGGTGATAGACAATTTTTTATAATTGCTCACCCGACTTTGGAACATGAATGTGGATTTGTGGGGTATCCATGAGTAGTCATTGGTGCCATAGAACTGGACCACGAACTGGCCTATAGGGCGCTTCACTGTCAGAAGTCTTTCAGGCTCTTGGCCGCGTGCAACTACTTTTGCTGGCCACCAACGGCTGCTGCCTAACTTGGCCCACACAATGTCACCTCCCTTAGGGAAGTAGCCGTCTCGACAGTAAAAGCAGACGAAATCTTCCATTATCATCGTTTGCTCGTCGTCTTTATCAAGACATTTGAAGTGGTACAGACAAGGACACATTTTGCAGCTCCAAACTGATGAAGACTTTGCCTCCTCTTGGGTAAAAGCTGGGAAAATTTCACGATTTAATTTGATTGAATCCTCTAAAAAATAGTGACGAGAAATACAAGATAAAATTTTAAGTCCTTCGTATAAAAATATTTAAATTGGACTAGATGTCGAGTAATTAAAAAAAACCATGAATAGCAAATAGAGGAGATTTATGCAAGATGAAAATATTAAATTGTTTTACTACTTACATTCAACACACACCTGACACTTGTAAGTCCTTGGTTTGTTTTGGTGGTCCAGGTGCCGCGGACAAACAATTTGGTGACTATTAATCTTTGTAGCAGCAGCAGGGATGCATTCATCATCTAAAAATAAAGTTTTGAAATTTGAAATGCAAATTCTCACCTGTTATTTACCTTTGTGGTAGGTTCCAGGGCACATGGTGCACCTGACCAGTTTTTCTCGAGGCTCAATCACCTTCTTGAACTGCAACATGTCACGGTGGACACAAGAATGACACGAATGGGCTGGACAAGAGATCAGCTGGCCGTTGGATACTGTGGCCTGCTGCCAGTGCAAGCCCAAGCACTCCAAGTGATACACCTTCTGACACTTCTTGGCTTTGCACTGGATAAGGCCCTCGCTGTGTTTGTTGCATACATGACATGGCATGGTATCTGTCTTGCAGAAGTTACAGACAAATGGTTCCATCCTGTCCTTCGGAATGTTGTCTCCCTGACAAGATGTGTGGTAGAAATTGTCACACTTAGTGCAGTGCATAACTGATTCTTTATTTTCATGGTCTCGACACTGAAATTATAATTTATAATGTTATTTAAAACAAAATCAATAATTTTTTTTTTACTTTTAAACAACTTAACAAACTTATATTTGTTACCTGGAAGCAGGCTTTTCTGGAAATAACACCACGAGCCTCTTCTCGAAGCTTTTGCAATTCCTCCTTGACCTTTTGTCTCTGCAGCCGCCTCACCTCAATCAATCTGGCACGCTCTATCTTGTGTGCTTCCTTCGTTTGTTCACGTTCAACTTGTTTTAATTCTCTTTCAGCAATTTTCAGGGCCTTCAGGTGCTCCTTTAAGATTTCTTTCTCTTTGGGCGTGATTTTGGGCTTGATGCCTAGAGTATCCAATATGATGGAAGGTCCTTGATTTTTCAACTCCATCAATTCCACCAATGCCTCCTGCCACTTTTCCTCAAATTTTGGTGGAACAAAGAAAGGATTTGTTTTCTGCAAAGTACAAAAATATAAGCAAGCATGAACAATGAATGCATTTAAATCTATCAATAATTGAAATTTAATTATGTCCTTTACCTTGTTCATGTTGATTAAATTTGTGAACTCCTCCAAAGACGAAAAGGGGACTATTTTTTTGTGAAACACCCAAGCTCTTTGCCGCTCCCCGCAAAACACAACATGGTACTTCTCGATTTTCTTGCCATCTAAATAGAAAAGGGAAAAGATTTTAAAATTAATATTAAAATTTCAGGAAATAACAAAACCAACCTATTAACTTATGCTGCCCCACCATGGGTATGATGAAAGCAGGCCAGTAAGGCCAGCTCCCTATTTTGGCCAGAACTGCTTGGGCAACTTTGAATTTGCTCTCGCTACTCTCTTCATCCTGCTTCTCTGCATCTTGCTTGGTTTCCTCCGCAATGCCTGTTGACGTCAATTCATCGTTACAAACAGGCGTGTTAGGAATTTCCACAAAATAACCATCCCACGACACGTCATCATCATCGTCATCATCAATGGAAGTGCCTAAGTCAACAGTTGAATCCAAAAGGGTGCTGTCGAGTAAACTTGAGTTCACACTTGAGACTTCGGAAGCCTGCGAGTATCTGGTGCTTCTCATTCTGGCTGGCGTTTCCCCTTCTAGCACTGGTTGGAGATTCTTTTTAGAGGAACTGGGCATCAAAAACTCGTCAGCCAATTCTGTTTGTCCCGACTGTGGGGTGGATGGAACGTCCGAATCCTTCTGCTGGGCAGGACTAGGTTTTAAAGAAGATCTCTTGCTTCTTCGCAGTTCAGGTCTGCTTGTTTCAATTTGCTCTACTACCATCATCGGAGATTTTCTAAAATTCTTCTTCTCTTTTATTGCGGGAGATTTTGACTTTTTTGGTGACGGCTTCTTTGGCGTTACTTCCACCTCTACCTCCATGGTCTCTTCTTCGGTCACTTGGGTAGGAATCAGTCCAGCAATAGGAGAGCTACGACCACTTAAGCAACCTGAAATAATTTCAGTTTGGAGGAGCTCCGAGATCATTAGATAATTTGCTTTACTAGATGGGCAGATCGAAAGTTCCTTCTCCAAATCTCCTACTTTTGGCTTCTTCGAATTCTCAGGCTCACAAGAGTCTCTCCTTTTGGGCGTGCTTGTTACTTCATTTTTCTCTGACTCCTTGGCAGTTTTGTTCCGGCTCAAGAAATGGCGTTTCCGGCCATCCTGCTTGGTTGGTGATTTGTCGGAACTGTTTTCATCCTGCGTGGGTGGCTCAACAGAAAGTTTCTGCTTCTCGGAAGGCTCGACCGCAGGGTCTTTCCATTTGCTTGGAGTGACCTGCGTAATTTCCTTCAAAGGAGACTTCTGCTCGTTTGCCGTCCGTCGTTCATCGATGACCAATTTCTCTGCCTTGCTGCACCGCTCAATCACAACATGAGGGCTTGATTTGCGTTTTGAATAGGTTTTCATATCCATTCTCCTTTCACGATACAGGTCTTGGTCGACGAGCAGCCGCTCTTCCAATGGAGTATCGGCCTCCACGTCCTCAAAGCTCAGAAATTCGCTCTCGAGCAAGAATTCTTCGTCGTTAAACTCGAATTCGTCGGCAGCAGATTCAAATCGCTTCGGCGAGACGAGCAGCGGCGAATCTCTAGGCAAATGATCCATGATTCAAAATATCAGATTGTTGGAAAAAGGGGCGAAACAGGGCGAAATTCGTTTTCAAAACCGTGTATTTGGCTAGTTGGTGAGACGCAACACAGGAAGATCTTGATTTGAAATTTGCGGCAAGCGGAAGGGCTGATTCGTGAGAATTTTTGGACCGATCTTACCACCAAACTTTCCGGTTGACCTCTGCGGTGGATTGCGCAGTCAACGACTTGCCATTGTGGCCAAAATCGCCGAAACACTTCAGTCGAAACTGCCGACGCTGTATTTCATGGAAAAGGCGGTAATAATCGGCGGTGATCAGCGGGAGCGTAGCGCAGCTGCAGCCAATCAGAACATCGTAAAGCGGCCAACCAGTATCGCCCTCTTTTGAAACGCGGGAAGGGGAATCTTTTTAGCGCTTTTTAGCATGCTCGCGAATGTGTAAGCAAAAGCGTTTATGATTTTTAAATTAATGCTAAATAATAAATTACTTTTGTTAGCTATTCGTTACAAAGAATATTTATTATATGGAATAGTTATTTTTTTGTAAACAAATTAAAAAGAATATGAAAAAATCATTAGAATTGCAATAAAAGTAAAAATTTCATGTACAGAGAAGTGATTATGATAATAATAATTTACTTGCATAACATGAGAAATATTTCATAACGTTGGTTCAAATAAAATTGTTTCCTTGTAGAAAAGTTTGCTAAAGAATCAGTATTTTTATTTATATTTCATTATTTTTCAAGAATTTTTTTGCTTGACGTATTTTAATTTACAAAAGTAATTAAGAGAAAGAGAGAACACAAAAACGAGAAAAGTCGACGAGCAGATTACAAAAGTAAACAGCAAGATCCAATGATTGAAAATCTCATGGAACGTTCCAAGTTTGATATGTTGACACAATATAGAATAAGAAATTGTATCAAGCAAAAACATAATTACATTTGTTCTCACCAATTTTATAACATAGACAGATATACAACAAAAATATCAAAAATATTATATTGCACAATTTTAAGTAAAAAAAATATACAATATAATATTACATCATAAAACTAATTATAATACTTGTACAGAAGAATGCAACTAATTTAAAATTATTAATTTCATACCACAGCATTTCACCAAAATTATTTAATCCGATTTTTGTTTTTACATTCACGTGTTCAACGGGACCAAATTATGGTACCGCGGGATTCCTTTCCCGAAATTTCTTTCCCTTTCCCGCCCGTTCCCGCTCTTTGATTGGGAATTTTTTCCCGCGGGAGTCCCGTTCCTGAAGTTGGATTCCCGTTCCTTCCTGTCCCGCTCAAATTTTTTTTTTAAATACACGTCCGTGAATGAACGTTTCCGTTCCGTCCCGAGTGAGAATGAGTCTTTTGTGCCCCCAGCTACATTGAGTCAAATTTAATATTGCCGAAGTGTGATGTGAATGTGATCTTTTGAAGAAAAGTTTATTTTGGCCTGCCTAATTTAAGTTTCTAGTTGCAATGTTCATAGTTCATACTTCATAGAGCCTTTTCACTATACTCTTTTTTTCTGCGAAAACGCCCACCTGCGACTTATGACAGTACACGAAAAGCAGTGCTAAGACTGCTATTAGTGGATATTGTTTTTACCTCGATTTTTTACTAAAATTTGACAAGATTCAATGATAATTGATCTTAAGCCGAGTAAAACTTATGAGAGAAACAAGATAGACCTGAAAAAAATATTGAGAAAGTTCACTTGAGCATTCATGAATTTAATATTGCGTTATTTTTGTCAAACAGAATAATATTCTTTATCGCCAAGACGCATTTATATTAATATCGTTGATATTTTTGATAAAACACTTTAATATAGAAAGAAGAAAAAATAAGCCAGGTTATTTTTCTCTTAGAGCTTGGTTTTTCGTTTGCTTATCCTTCTTCGCTCTTCTTTGATAAGCTCCAGTAATTAATTAAAAATGATTCCTAAAATTAATAAAATTAATTTCACTGTAAGAAATGACAGAGTTCCCAAATCCTAATTAAGTAAAAATGTATAAATATTCTAGACGAATAGAATATGACATGCATACAAATATATAATTAAATTGTCAGCATATAATTTGATTTTCTAGAAATAATTTTTTTAATCAAATTCTAAAAATTTTCAAGGCTTGTTATTGTGATAGCAGCAACCAAATTATAATTTATCAAAATACTAGTTACTATATCAAAAATATAATTTATTCCCGTGAGTTTAAATTAAATTTTATATAAAATATGCAGAGTATTCAAAAAGTTACATACAAAATAATCCAAAAGAATAAAATGAAGTCTCTGGTTGCATCATCAAATTTAATAAAAATAGCTCGTCATTTATTACTTAATTTTTAATTTTCAGTTTGTTTCAATTACTCAATTTAAACAGTTGTCGAATTAAGTAGTAAAGGTCATTTATAAAAAACCGTATACATATATTATTATGTTTAACAGGTCTTTCGATTCGATCTATTTTGCACTATTTTTATGAGTGTATAGTGTGTAAAAGAAAAACTTTATAAATCTTGATATTAATTTTTAACTATTTTCGGTGCAGGACAACTTGAAATTTTACGTCAATCAACTCTTTCTATATACCGCTCTATACTTTACCTGCATTTGGTTGCAGATCGTTAAATATGTAGCCAGATATGCTTATGAATTAAGTAAATCAGAGAAAATTTCAATATTTCTTCATAGGGGGTATAGGACTTGCGCTAGTTTCGTTTACTGTCATGTTCGTATCGCCACGAGATGGGTGTGTTCGTTAATGCATCTTTTCGCCTCTTTTATTTTTTTCATTTTCTCCTCCCCGTACGAGCGGATAGTAAGTAAAGTAGCAAAGGGAAAAAATTTGTGTGCATGCGCTTATTGATTTAATTGAAAAAGTACATACGTAATTATCACTCTCCAAGGTAAAACGCTATTTAAACTATTTAAAGGAAAAAATCTGATGCAATCATAATTTTCCCGCGGGAATCCTGGCACCGTCAATCAAGTCCCAGTTCCTCCCGGCACTGTTCCCGCTCAGCACGATTAGCACCGTTCCCGCAAGAATCCCGCAAGTCCCGCGGGAAATTTTATTTTCCCGTTCCCGTTGAACACTCTACTACGAGAGTAAAACATGAATCAATGTCTGAAAATAACACAGTATTCCTACATTCCTAGCTGCCATTTTTGTGCTTTGAATTTTTTTTAAACATCTCAAATTCGCTCCCAAGTTCCCAACTGTCCGAAGAAATTGTGCAAAGAGATAAAAAAAATTTTTTTTAAATCTATTTTAATTTGGAATGCGTAGCCTTGTTGGAAATTTTCTGATATTTTTTGGATTGCATACTATCGATCCTGTCGATCCTGCAAAACTAAAGGCAAAAATGTGCGACCTCTGACCTCTGGCACTGTGCGACCACTGGTGCAACTGCAATTCAACCACCATACAAGACGCACCAAATTTTCATGAAACAATCACTCCTCATTGTTCAACACACCAGGCCAAAATGTAGAGCAGATCAGCAGAAGGTTTGTATGGAAGGAACAAGGGCCATCTTATTTCCTTTGCGTGGAAGGTACTTGTGTTCCCAGTCTTGCTGTGAGATTTCAGTTAAGGTCACAGTTTTTCCACAAATTTTCAACGAATATCTAAGCAGCTGAGACGGAATTTTTAGTTCTTGAGCTTTTTTGTACGCCTCGATACGCAGATGGTTCTCCCTTTGAAGCTCTTCAGGTGTCTTGAAGTGCGTGATGAAGTAGCCGGTACCTTTAAGCATGGCAACCTTTTCCATGACTACTTGTTTTTGCCATGGCGATCCTAGCTGAATCACAATGGGTCGCTGCTTCTTAATATTATTACTGCCGATACGAAATGAATCTTCGATTGTCACTTGCTCCTGCCTGATGCCCATTAATCGGTAAAACAATTGAAGAATGACAGATGACAGTTCAAAACATGAAGGCACTCCGAAAACAATCAAGCTTCTTTTTTTCTGCTGATTGATTGATTTTTCCAATTCCAAATTTCTTTTTTCTTTTTGGGCAATAATTTGATTTTTTTTTTCTAATTCAGCAAGTAGTTCATCTCGAGTCGGTTGAAGCAAACTCTCATCGTCAACAGATTGATCTTCAAATATCTGGGAACTAATGCCCTCAATGGCAGTTTTTTTAGAATTAGGGTCTGGGTTACTTTCCATATTTCCCATTGTTAGAAGAACCAAAAACATGCACACTCAAACAACCTTCAGCTTCATATTTAAAATGTTCAAGTTAGCAAAAGATTTCAGCAGACAAGAAAGAAGGCCGCCATTGGTTTTGTTGCAAGGCTTGTAATTCTATCCCTTTTGGCAGGAAAGCATACACTCTCATGGCAGTGTTTCCGGCAGAAGACCGCAGCTGCACCTGCAAAAACAAAAAACAAGGAATAAATTTGGAATCCTCACTAATTTAATTAAATGATGTTATTAGTTATTAATATTGCCACATACTATAAGATATTTATTTTTACCTTTTTGATAAGTATTAAAGAGAATGGCCTCTAAAATGCTTTAAAAAATTTACAGAAACTTTAAAACAGAGACCCACCCATATGAACAAAATTGAATAGAAGCCATTTTTGTTTAATAACCCGTATTTTGTATATATTCCCGTACTTTTCTAATTTAAATTTAAAACAAAAATTGGCATCTTTTATTTAAGAGGCAAATTTTAGGTGCCCCGGGCCCTGCTGTATAGTTTAAGAGAGTCACTAAATTGTCTTTTGCGCTGGCTCCAAGCGCGGTTTGTTAATTACACGCTAAAGAATTGTGAAGTTTCAGTCAACCGTATCAAAGAATCGGCGCCTTTCAGAAAATCCTTTGATTCATAATTAATTATGAATACGACTAAGCATATTCAAATGAAATTTTAAATCTAGAGTTCAAATTAAATGAGAGCTTAATTGATTATCACAAAAATATTCCAAGGTATAATGAACAATTAAAAAATTTTCAATTTAAGGCATTTTTCACGGAGAAAATAAATCAAGCTACAAAAATATAAACATTGAATTACGAAAGAATATATAAGGTCTTTGCCAACAACTTTGTATCCAAGATTTTCTCTCTACGCTTGCTAAAATGAGAATAATAATTTTAACACCCACAAAACATTTAGCACACCCCTATCATCTAAGCTCGTGGTTGGATTTAAATTATTTATCTGACTAGAATCTGACTAGAAATTAAAAAAAAAATGGAAATTTTTTTTATGTTAACATAATTTTTATTAACAAAATTAATTATATCTCAGTGCCTTTTTGTGATTATTTTAAATAATAAAATTCTTTAATTTAACGCGTTTGCGTACATCATGAGCTGCTGCAGCAGCACCAGAAAAAGCAAAGAAAAAACAGTATTAAATAATTAATTAGAGTTTTCTTTCATAAGTATTTCGCCCTCGCGACTTCATCATTGCGCAAAAAACCC